TTCTGGTTAATCAACGTTAAATGGCAATCATCTCTTTACCTAAATATAGAATGCATCTCTGTACTCATTGTATACGTTTCTTGAAAATGATCAGTAAATTCTCACTGAATCAGTTTTTCATACTAAATTGGTATTTTTTTTTCTCTGAGAAAATACTAAATTATATTTTTAATCATTGACTTATTTGATTATCCAAATAGGATTAAACAATTTGCAAAGAAAAAAAATTTATAATTTAACCTCTAGAATTTGATACATAATTACTTTAATTAGTAAGGATGGAAATTTCCCTTCCTTATCAATTTGGAGAAAAATTCTGGAAAATAATATTTTAAATGCATTGGACAACATGGGAGAGTACACTTTTAAAACAAAAAAAACAAATTCAATACACGTAAATTGGCCCAAAAATGCTCTTAAGACGAGTGAAAAAAAAATGAAGGCAGGAGTGTTTATATACACTTCTCCTAGAAGTATGTTAGTCAATTGTCAAAACTGTATGGAGTTCTTTTTTTTTTGTTTTTTTCTCATTTTTTCTTTTCGAAAAGAAAAATTGCTTGGGCTGGCCCAGGTGCTTTGGACTTTGGAATTTTGATGGTGTAATGGCTAGGTATAGTCGGCAAAGGGAATTTTGGGCCTTGTCTATTGTCCATAAAATTCACTGAATGGGTCTGTACATTTCATGGAAATCTTTGAACGTATCTTGAACATGAGAAAGTTTATCTGGGTTAATGAGTCCATAAGATAATTAATTTGGGTCATCTATAAAGAATACTGTGAAAGGAGATCATGAATGATGCTTGAAGAAAGACAGGGCTGCAATTTTTTTTTCTTCTACGAGTATTTTCACGCTTAAACCATGATGTTATTTAGTAGTGCTTTCTTAATAATAGCGACTTCATATTGAATTCTTAATATTCCGGTTAAAATTATCGGGAAACACTGATGAGAAGTAACTTAAGTAGTAAGCTACACTTAATATCAATAGATGATTTCTACAAGTTTAGGGGTCCGATCAGTGGAAAAAATATTCAAAGAGAGGAAAAAAAAAAATATTTGTTTTAACATAATCGTTTTTTGGCCTGAAAGTGATTAGTCTCTTATTTAACCGTTAAATAGGAGTTGGAAGGACACCCTCGATAATACCAAAGAAAATATAGAATACTCATAATAATAAAACAAAGAAAAATAGAAATTGCCATATAATTACCTCTTGGTAAAAGGTAGGGATGATCATGAATCTAGTTGGAGTTGGATTTTACAATCTCCATACCTGACTTGGTAGCAAAAACAATATCCATCATAGAGTAATTGCCTCGCATTAGATCGAATGGATTCAAATTTAAATCAGGATTGGATCAGACCAGTATATAGTTAATATACAGAAAATCACTAAAAAGAATTTACTTTTTATATAAAAAGAGAAAAAGATTAATCGGATCAAATTCGAATTGGCTCGAGTCAGATTAATAGATATTCGTACATGATACATTTATAAATATATCGAGTTTTATCCTGTAGATTTAGATTGGGTGGAACTCATCCCTAGCAAAAGTTCTATCTTAATTAGACATATCCAGTTAATACACAACTGGACTTACTAACTAAAAGGGCTTATATTAGGGTTTAGTTCTATATGTGTTTTTGTTAATTTTCCTTTGATTGTTTTAAAAATTTTGAAGGCCATAGGAAAAGCATAGTTGGGTCAATAGCATATGCATTTCATTTTATCCTCTTAATCCATTAAAATAAAACAAAATAAAAAATATATATATATTAAAAGGAATCTCATGAAAGGAACTACTGAGTATGTTTTTGGTTGACGCCATGAAATTCCATGTATAATTAATTTTGTTGGTATATGCAAATCTATACGATTAGGAAACTTCCTATTGAGCCCTTGGAATTGTACGTATTGGATACGGCCAAAAAACAAAATACAAGGGAACTGCAATTTTTTTATTTTTAGCGAGAGCCAGAAAATTTGGCCATTGGGTTAATTCCAAGTTTAATATTGCACATTTTCATTTTTTTTTATAAAAAAGGGTTAAAATTGTAGATTTAGTTACTTTATTATTATTATTCAATTTATGATTTAACTCCCATTACATGTAATTTTATTATTTTGATTATGTTATTTAGTCTTTTTTTTCTTTCTTTTGCTTATATGAAATTAAACAAATCTTGATAAAAAAAAAAAAGAAAAAGGAATTAAACAAATCAAAATATAATATAAAATAATAAAATACATTAATCATGCTAACTTTTATAATTCCCACTAAATTAATAAAAATATTTATACCTAAAGACACTTGACTTCAAACACTCACCTACTTAAAAAAATAATATAAATAAAAATACCAATCACATCATGTATTAACGTCTAGTTGGATTGAATCCAATTTTATTATTGCCATATAACTTGCCTTTATATATGCTATTATTTTTATAAATTATTATGTCTCATTTGCATTATTATGCCATTATTGGAATCCCAGTTTATCAGTGGAACTTAATTAACCGATTAAATGATACATTATGTTAAACATATATAGATGCAATGTCCGATAAGTCTCTCTTTTTCCCCAATCCTCAAATCTTAAATTGATAACTGCTTTTTTTTTTTTTTTTTTTTAAGATGCAATGTCCGATAGAGTCTTCTTTTTCCACAATCTCAGAATTTAAATTGATAACTGCTTTTTTTTTTTTTTTTTTTTTTTTTTTTTTTTTTTTAAATTGTAGTTAGATGGTTAAAGTTTGGGACTCAAAGTTAACTTGAGTTAATATTAAGTTAATAAATTCATTTGGAAGTTTTGCATGGACTGAAAGAGCTACACAATGAGTATAATCCTCCCATTCGATGAAAGTAACTGTTGTCGAAAAGATTCGAACTCAATACCTTACATAGGTGAAAAGACCGATCAGACCACCGTTTGATTGACACTTTGTACAATAATATTTGCAAAATAAAAATAAATTATATTGAGAATACACTAAATTTTGTACTTAATTATCAATTAATCACATTTCAATCACTAAAGTGATTATTTTGCAAAAAGATCTCAAAATGACAGGATGTGATATGATGTATATTACTTGGATTATTGCATTGCCAAATTGTGGTTCATATAATTAAAATCAGTGGGCCTCACCTATACAAGTTGGGGTTTCTATTTGTGAATCCTCACCATTAAGAATAATCTAGCATTAGATAAACACTTTTGGTATGGAGAAAAAAATCAGATAAGGTTAACAAAGATAGATAATGTTTTATGTTTCAATTTTAAATTTTAGAGACAATTTTGTAATCAAATTAATGCCCACTAGGTGGCAACATATTAAAAATATAAGAAAAGTAATACAAAAATATTAAATAAATATTATATTTTAAATGTATCATGATATATATATATTTTTTTAATATTGAAAAGGACATTCAAACGAGGATCTATTAGCAGATTATATATGCGCATACCATTAAATTTGTCTTGGTGTGCATCTTTGTTCAATAAGAAGCATTATGTAGCCTTGATGTTTTGAAAATAGCAATGACAGTTTAAACCACATTATTATGACTTTTTCTTAGAATATTACTATGCGGTTGGCCTAAATTATAAAAATATCCTAATTTTTTGAATTTGTTGGAAATTTACCCGGAAAGCAAATTGCTTCCTAAAATAAAATTAAAGCTCAAACATCAAGTTAGAGTACTCTAATCTTGTCAATCTATTGTAATCCCACCCTAAAAGTAAATTAAAGGTTTTGATTAAAATAATATAAAAGCAGACCCACATATAACCAAACATTGGTTAAATGAAATTTACCCTTTGAAATCAAAGGGATACAACTTACAAGTGTTGTAATCTAAATATTCTTGCACCAAAACAGAAAAAAAAAAAAAAAAATAAATATTCTTGCAACCAAACAGAAAAAAAAAAAAAAAAAAAAAAAAAAAAGATACTGTGTCTTTGATTTTAGAATTAAACTAATTTTATGTGTTAAATATAATTGACTAATTATAATACTAAATAATTAATAAAATATTAAATGATAATTTATACAGCTTTTAATAATATGATAACTTACTTAATCAATGATATAAATAGTTTATTTTTATATTAATTCTAAAATAAGTCACATTAATAAATTTCACTGATGACTATTTATTGACTTTTATTTTTTCAATCTTTATAGATTCTACCTATTTACTAATTTTCACTTTTACATTCAAAATCATTGTTGCTTTGTCTGCTATTTATTTATTTTTATTCATATCTTTTTTAATATAATAATATAAATTTCAATGACAATGATAATGGTCTCATTAACATAATTTCGTACTGCTACTATTTATTCAATTTTTTTAAACATGTGTAGCACGAATATACTGCTAATCATTAATAATAAGAGGTACTAAGCTCATACTAATCTTAAAGATAAGGACGATAATAAATTGCTTCATCGTCTGTTTTTACTTAACCATCATCGAATTGGGTTGGCATCCTAATGGATTATACTTCAGTACATTGGATATACCGACCAAATTAATAAAAATAAATTTTAAAAAATTATTTTTATTTTTTTTTCAGTATATAATCAGAAATTAATCAGGTGTGGAAGAGTCCATCCCCATTTTAATATAATGTCTTTAAAATATTCAAATCAAATGACACGTGTATGATCCCCATTCATTCAATTATATAAAAAATATTCCTTCCAATGTACGCCCATTAGAAGCATTAACCAAATAGATAAATATCACAATCACTTACCAAAAACAACATAAATCATTATGCTCCAAATTATTTACGAAGTGGACAACTTCGACAACTGGCTTTTGCTTTCGCTCGCTAAACCTTTTTTTCCCAAAAATGCCCTTGTCATTCTCAAATAACCCCGTAAATATTCAATGGAAAAGATGTAATTTTCTGGGAGACTATGGTCCATTTGGTCCATGAAAAACTTGCTCTGCTATATAAAAGATTTTTATTTATCATTTTTTTAACAGATAACAGTGCACTCTGTATCGTTTGCTTTAGCGTGAAAGCGAAGTCATAAGGACAAATGTCTCTGTTTCTGATGTCACTCTCTCTTTGAAATTTCCGTTTGATATTTCCTTCTACAGTTGCTTTCTGAAGAACCAGTTCCAGAAAATTCAAAGTGAGGGAGAGAGAAATTTGGAGGGGATTTCAATTCTCTGCAATTGGAATTTGCTAGCCATGTTGGTTCAAAGAACAGTGATAATGAGCTGGAGGAGAGTGGCTAAGTCTTTACTGGCCGTCGTAGCCCATTCCCTACTTTTTTCATTCACGCTGTTGCTTGCTCTCAGGCTTGACCGTGCAGTGTCTTGCTCGTGGTGGTCCGTTTATTTTCTTGCTTACTTATTTCTATTTTTCTCCTCTTCTATTAGTGTTTGATTGCTGAGAAAGTGGATTTTTTATTTTTTTGATTTCGGTTTGCTGTTAAAGGAGAAAGCTCAAAACTCTATTCTGTTTGTGGCATTTTGTTGAATACCCATCTCGTGAAATTTCAATTTTATTTATTTTGAATTTGGAAAGTGTAACAAAAACTGTTGCGGCTTGAAACTAGAAATTTGTGGGTTTTTGATAAAACTGAGGGCTTTCTATGCTCACTGGGATTATGCATTCTGAAACGTTATTGATTGTTGCTTTCTTTATCTAAAATGTCATGCTAAATTAAAATTTATTCTGGAAGTATTTCAATGTAAACTCCTTTTGTTATTACAAGTAATTTATTATTATCTTTTATGTTGATATTTCGGTTTGAAGACAAGCATAATAAAATTTTTACTTTATTAGGTCAGATTGAACTAAACAAATTGTACTCACTATACAATTCCCAGGAGAACTGTAATGTGATATCCCTGCTAGACATTTAGCTCTAATCCACCAAATACCTCGTTAGTAATGGCTTGATATTGACAGCAGGTGTCAGTTGTGAATTTTAGAAGGGACAAGATGAAACTTAATTAGCTAATGTGCTTACCACCAATGTGTTTGGATTTGAAATGTATAGTGCTTGATTAACCACATTGGTTGTCATTTCAAGGTTTTTTTTTTTTTTTTGGGGGGGGGGAGATGTTATGAAGAACTTCTTTGTTGCTTTGCTCCAGCTTCAGAACGACAACCAATTTCGAGATATGCAAAATAGTTGATTGCGCTCAGAGTAACTGGTTGGGTCGCACTGCTTAAATTTTCTTAATTGGCATTGTATGTGACATTTATTTCCATCTAGAATTTCCATTTTAGTTGCCATCCATCAACTTCTCATATTGTAGTATGCCTTTTTGAATTGCTGAGGAAAAAGGTGGAAATTTTCCTTTTGTAATTTATTTTGTGTTGGAATATTGATCGGAATTATGCTGTGTTGAGTAAAAGGAAGAAACACGCTCAAAATCTTCTTAGTTCTGTTAATGGGGCCGAGCCTAATTATTTGTATTTGTCATACAATATACCGCATAAAAAGACTCACGATTCGAAACTCTATCAAATAGTTCTTTATTTGCACTTTTGTGAATTCAGAAAATTGGGAGAAGAGTTTGTTTTAAACAAACTGATATGTGCCCGAGCTTTGAGATACTATGAAATGTGTTGTGTGGGGAGATTTCATATTGTTTTTTTTTGAATTAAAAGAGCTGAAAGGAGGACGTTTAGTCTAGAAAATGCTCAGCGATGGGTAAGTCTAGATGCCCCCTTGTCTATGGGGCAAAACCGATTTAGTTGGAAGTTGATTTGGCTCTATTGCAATATGTTATACGTAAAATGGGTTCACATGACTGCTACAATTAACACATATTATATTAGTCTTGGTGGGAAGTCTCACATTTACCAATCGTATAAACTCCTTACTTTGTTATTTTAACCTAAGAAGGTATAAAATTTTATATATTAATCATAATCAATCTTTTATAATATGTTTGATATATGTACCCCAGGTGTTAGTAAGAGCAAGGCATTGAGCATAAAGGATGATTTTGACTGTTTATAATAAAGGGGAGTCTATAGATGTTGGAGAGAAAACTTAAACACAATTACCTAGTACTCACTATAAGAGCAAAGGATGGAATTGCCCATTAGTGGACACCAACATTGTCATGTTAATGATAATGCCCCACTGGAGGCATAGATTGAAGCGAAAGAAGATGCTTAGACTAACTTAGATATTCACAAGCGATAAATCCAACCCGGGTCGAAAAATCAAAGGAATGAGATGTAAGTTCGCCTCCTATGGCACCCTCGTTAGTAATGGCCTTGCCATAATCGACAGCACAAGGTTGTGTATAACAGGTATTGGAGTAGAATTGGAATTTTAAAGCAAAGGCGGCAAACATAAAGATGGAACTCTGAATGTATAGTTCAATAAATGAAATGGTCCGCTTCTATACCCTGGCAACCCAAATGTGTTTGGATTTGAAAATGTATAGTGCTCTTTGATTAACCACATTGGTCTGTACCGCTATTTTATATCAGAAGGATTACTTGGTTAATCACTTCTTATATTTTTAGGGAGTTGGGGCGGTAGCGCGAGGGTAAGACAGAGGTAATGGGGAGAGGGGACTAGCTTTCTACCTATCTTGCCAATTATGATAACCATGATAAAGGGGGGGGGGGGGGGGGTGTGGGGGAGGGTCTTTTTACTCTTGCAATTATGATACCATAGTAAAGCATAAGTTTTGAGTTTACACGAACCACTTACTGCATTGCATACAACTTTTTTTGGATGAATGCTGGTGCTCATAGTTGAATACAAGCCTCTGTCTTTTTCCTTTCCATCCTTTTCTTCCAACTTTTTCCCTTTAAAATTTATATTTACTGTCTTTGTGAGCTGGCCAATGAAAAGCAAGAAAATGTAATCTCTCTGTGCAAATTAGTTGCAGCTGTAATCATTTTGATGGCATCCTTGTTTCAAGGTGATGATCTGTTAAGTTAATAAATACTAGTTTTGTGGTCTTGTTTGATCATGCAGGTTTATTTTTGCACCTCTGTGGCTATTTCATGCAGTTGTAGCACGTGGCCGATTTTCTTTACCTGCTCCATCAATGCCTAATGATCGCCGTGTATGAGTTTCTAATTTATTATCATCTTTCTCATGTTGATAATTTATTATATTGTTCTTCAGAAATCTGAATTTGGATTTTTGATCTATTATAACATTCTTTTTCTTTACAGTGGGCACCATCTCATGCTGTCTTGGCAACTCCATTGCTTATTGCTTTTGAGCTACTCCTTTGTATACGTCTAGAGAACAGTTATGGTGAGTGGAAAATCTATAACAACACACCCTGAATTATAATTATCTTTTTTGAATTCTTTTTCTTTCATTTCCGTTTGTATTCAAGCATGTAAATAAGAGCCAAATTATTTAGATGACCCATTTTTCTCCATTATTGCCAATGAGCTTCACAAAGTGTCCTCATACCAGTGGCGGAGCAAGAATCAAACTTGGGGAGGTGGGGGGCAAAAAAAAAATTTCTTCAAGGCAAAAATAAATGAACTTTTGGCGATAGGGGAAGCAGTGGCCATCCCCTCCCTCCGGCTCTGAGTAATACTATTTTTTTGAGAGAAAAAGATTAGAGTAATTTGATGTGTTCAAACCTTGTCAATTTATTTTGCTTATTGGCTTGAATTTGTGGTAGTTGTCAACTTGAAGATTGTTTTTCTCCCGTTGTTGGCATTTGAAGCAGCAATCTTGATTGATAATATAAGGTATCATTAAGTTTTTCTTTTTCTTTTTTTTTTTTTTTTTTTTTTTTTTTTTTTTTTTGAAGAGCCAGAAGACCAGCGATAGATATGGCCACTATGAAACATTGAAAGACAGAAAGGGAGATCCAAACACCAATAAGTATTAACACTCACGATAATGATGAAGTTGTAATAATCTTTTTTTGGAATTCTTCTTTAAATTCTTGTGCACTTCTCCGGTTTTGGTAATAAGTACACCGAAGTGGCATAGGTAAAGTAAAAGAGAGAGCGCGAAATATTTTAAATTAGATGACAGAGGCCTTTCTTTTACATTCCCATTCATGTGGGAGCACGAATAGATGTCTTTCCCAAGTTGGCAATACCCAGTCGATTACGGCAGAAAGTGGCCCGTAAGCAATGGCAATCCAAACATTGGGGAGGTGGGGGAGGCCTAACAAAAAGCAATTTTTTTCTTCTAAGGACAAAAAAATGACAAATCCGAAAAACTTGTTTGGTGACCTGATATGCGTGAAGGAAGCACTCCAGTTACGGAACCATCCCTTCCTCACCTCCTGCAGGCTACTGAGAGTTAAAATAATCCTATTTTAAATTTTTTTTTGAGTAGTAAATGGAGATTAGAGTGAAAAATTAGGGATTGGCCAATGTTGCATTACAATGAAACTCTCCAATGTCAATTATATAATTTAGCGTTATTGGGGTTATTTGAAGTATTTTTGGTGGTAGTTTGTCTAAAACAGATTTGAAAGGTATGTGGGTGGATTTTGTTTCATCCGCTTTCTGTATATCTGTATGTACGTGTTGTGATGTGATATGATTTGGAAAAGCAGCAATCTTATGTGAATTGTAATTATACCAGCGTTATTCAATTAAGTATCTTTTTGATTGTATTTCATTATTTTCTGTATATTTGTTATTTTTTTGATTTGATTTCTTTCCAGTAAAAATATTTTTTTGATTTATGCTTTCCTTGATAGAGCCTTCACTAATACGGAGCAGAAGGGGCGGTTGTTGGTTTGGAACTTATTTGCCAATGCCGCTTCTTGACATTGGGCTATCAGGAGATAAAAACAAACATTGCTATATTGATTAACAGTAGTTAGGAAATTGAGATAGTCCCTTTTGTAGATTTGACATATAACTGAGGATTTGGAGATTACACCATATTTTCACCAACTATACTGATCTGATTCTTGACTAGGTAGTTATATGTTTGATAAGTGTTGTGTGCTTTACTCTTGGTACTCTATCATTGATCGGGGGGGTTAACTCAATGTCCACTTAATATAGTGCTAGTTCAGCTTAACATTGTTTGTAACATCCAAATCACTAGAGAGAAACCAACTTGCAACTATGCTCTCAAGAAATTACATACCGTGTACATAAACCCATATTTAAATAAAGGTTATGCGCGTATTAATTGGTTTAAAATAAAGATTATAGATTGGGGGCTAGTGCTGGGAGGATCACGAATGGCGAAAGTCCTAATAGACTATAACAGGTTTTTTTTTTTTTTTTTTTTTTTTTTTTTTTTTTTTTTTTTTTGTTTGCTTCACTAAACACTGGTGAATTTCATTCTTCTAATGCACAGAATTAACATCTTATACTGTGAATTGTTTTGATTTGAATTATAGATTGTTCACTACTTCACTTACAGTGTATTTTTGCTTCTTTGTACCGGTTCACCAATTTGTTATATCACTTTGTCTCATATAAGGAACAACAAGGATAGGCATAAATGAAATGCGTTTTATAGATATAGGGCAGCTGAGTCAAGCAAGTCTATAGTGCAACCAGTTAAGCAAGATTAAAACTATTTACTTATTTTTCCTTATTATGTCAGCTGTTACAAGTTGTTATTTTTATTGTTTTTCTGTGTTTATTGTTTTGTTATGTTAAGTAGTAGAGTAGTTACTGCTTTACTAGCTTGTGCATGAATTCTGAAATATGGAATGGAAAAGCAAGCGTTAATTCAGTTTACTATTGAGATTGAAGAGTTGTCTTTCAACAAGCTCTTAATCTTTAATTGTTCAGCTTAGGTAAAAGGGAAAAATTTTTCAGTAAATGCTAAGGGTATTTGGTTAATCCTGCAGTTGGAGGTTCAAAATTATAATTGAATTGTTGAAAGTTGATGCTAAGGGTATTTGGTTAATCCTGCAGTTGGAGGTTCAAAATTATAATTGAATTGTTGAAAGTTGATGCTAAGGGTATTTGGTTAATCCTGCAGTTGGAGGTTCAAAATTATAATTGAATTGTTGAAAGTTGATGCTAAGGGTATTTGGTTAATCCTGCAGTTGGAGGTTCAAAATTATAATTGAATTGTTGAAAGTTGATGCTAAGGGTATTTGGTTAATCCTGCAGTTGGAGGTTCAAAATTATAATTGAATTGTTGAAAGTTGATGCTAAGGGTATTTGGTTAATCCTGCAGTTGGAGGTTCAAAATTATAATTGAATTGTTGAAAGTTGATGCTAAGGGTATTTGGTTAATCCTGCAGTTGGAGGTTCAAAATTATAATTGAATTGTTGAAAGTTGATGCTAAGGGTATTTGGTTAATCCTGCAGTTGGAGGTTCAAAATTATAATTGAATTGTTGAAAGTTGATGCTTCTAGCTGTTAGTATTTGGCCCTCCAACTACTAGTTACTAACCATCAACAGCTAATCACAACTGCTGAAACAAAATAGCCCTCAAGTTTCTATTAGGCGTCCAGCTTTACAAATGCTAGAAAAGGAAGGTAATGGAGGTGAATAAAAAGAAGAAAAGTGAATGAATGTTATGATTTTTCATTTTAGAAATCATCAGTAAATTAGATATAATTTTGTTTTTCCCCTGTTTTTCTTTCAATAATTTTATATCAACTAATGTTCTTCTGTTGATTGTGATGTATATATGGTGATGTGGAAATTGACTTTTAAACAAAATCTTGATATGATGACACAACATTCAGTGAGTTCAGCCTTGATTAGTTTTTTTCAATTTGAATGTATTCTTTCAATGTAACTAGGAATTGGGCATTCAGCATGGAACCCAGTGCCTTGAGCAACAAGAGATCTTATCGCATTAAGTATGCCTTTTGTTTTTGACAGCATTGGTTCTTATTATTGTAGCCTGAAATCTTACACGATCCAATTAGTTATGAATGTTCTAAAAGTGGTAAAAGAAGCTTGGTGTTATCATTATCCAAAATGATATTGCATTACATTACATGAAACATCCAGCGTAAAGGGGGTTGTTTGAAGGGGAACAGTCTTAAACTCTTCTGCGTGGAAGGATAGAATTCTTGGGTTAAATCATACTTCTGAGTAAAACTCAGTTTAGCAAATGATTTTCATGGCTTTTTAAGCATCTTTTGATATTCTTTTAACTATAGGATGTGTAGAGCTTTAATGCCTGGAGATGAAGAAAGCATGAGTGATGAAGCAATATGGGAGACTCTTCCTGTAAGTTAAGAAATCTCTTAATCTAAGTATTGTTTTGAGATGTATATGCTACACTGTGGTAAGCAATCAGTACTAGTGATGCTTATTATCAGTTTCTCAATCAATCAAATTCGAGCAATTATGCTTCTTTGGAGGTGCAATCAAACTAATTCTGATGCCTATTGGAACCTCAAGTATGATGCTTTAGGAAGTTTAGTTGGGAAGCTAAAAACTTTTATATTCTACTGTTCATGGATGCCTAACCAGCATGAATAACAGCCTCAAAATCTTCTATTTCTTGTTTAAGTTGCTTCTTCGATTTTACTTTTACATTTTTTTTATTGTCCAGCCAAATCTCTATTCCTTTAAGCTTTTTAAATAAACACAAGATCTTTCCTAAATAACCAAACTTGCAAAGTGTGAAATCACCAAAGTTTTTTATTGTTCCCCTTTTACCAGCTAGAAAACAAAGGGAAACTACATGTTAAAAGTTAGCCTGGTAAAAAATTGTGATTGTTATGATGGGACATGTTTCTATGAAATTTTGTCAGGAATATACTTTGCTAGCAATATGAATGTTTTTTTTATCCTTGCTATGAATGTTGATACCATATTTTTAATCTTTGGTTTCTAGCACTTTTGGGTTGCAATATCTATGGTCTTCTTCATGGCTGCAACAATATTCACTCTTCTTAAGCTATGTGGTAAAGTTTTTTGTATTTCTATTGAGCAACAGTTTTCTGTATTCTAGTCACATGCTTTTACTTTTTGTAATTGTTCCCAATTTTCATTTCTTTGAACTTTGTTTTATTGGATAATCAATTCCATTGTATGATTGTCTCTTTCATCCAATATATGTCAACTCAATACACATTACTACCTTGAAATCCAAGGAATACTCGATGCTGGAACTTTGGACATGAGGTGGTTATCCTGTTGGTTCTTTTTGTCCAATTCTTGACCATGTTTTCATTTTTAATTTTTTGAGGTTTTTTTGTTTTTGTTTTTGTTTTTTTTTTTTTCTTTTTGTTTTGTTTTTGAGTTTTTTTGTTTTGTTTTTGTTTTTTTTTTTTCTTTTTTGTTGGTTGGGGGGGGGGGGGGGGGGGGGGGGGGTTGGCGGGGTGGTTGCACATATACATTTACTTTGGAAGATTGGGGGGGGGGGGGGGTTGGCGGGGTGGTTGCACATATACATTACTTTGAAGATGGAAATTATCCTATAGATATGAATTCATACCTGTTCAAAATGAAGGGGCAGTAAGAGGAAAACTGTGAAATGCAAAAGTTGGGGACGGCACCTTTTGAGCTCTGCAGCAATAGCATAAAAAACCTTTTGATCTTTATTCTTTTGAGTTAAATTGTTTGACCAACCATTTGGGCTGCACCAGGTACATAGCTATACCACTCCACCCTGGTGACACCTTTTCTTTGGTATGCAGGTGATGTGGCAGCTCTTGGATGGTGGGACTTGTTTATAAATTATGGGTAATGATTATTATTATTATTATTATTATTATTATTACATTAATCTTTGATGATTTGCATATTGATATCGGTTTTCAGCTCCTGCACTTGCTGAAAAACGTTTTTCATTGCAGAATTGCAGAATGCTTTGCCTTTCTTGTTTGTACAAGGTGGTACAATCCAGCAATTCATAGGCATTCACATATTGGAGGGCCTGGTTCTTCAATGTCCATCAGATATATCGAGTGGAATAGAGGCTTGGTAGTTTCTTCAGATGAAGACCGGCATCAGAGCAACAGAATATGCAATCTGCAGGACATTGGCGGACATTTTATGAAAATTCCTTTTATTGGTTTCCAGATCATGCTTTTTATGCGCTTAGAGGTGCTAGAAGCTCTCAAAAGTGACTTTATTGATAATTTTTAATCCTCCTCCCAAGTTCAACTCATATACAAAATGCACTTTCTTTTGCACAATTTCAGGGTACACCTCCTGATGCTGAACATATTCCATTTCCGGTTCTTTTCGCTCCACTTTTGCTGATACAAGGAGCTGGGGTCTTGTTTGCTATTTATAGATTGGTAGAGAAAATCGTTATTTTACTACGTGGTGGATCTGGTTCTACTAGATACTTAACTATTGCATCCAAAGTTTGTGATTTTCTTGGGTTTTTGCACCATGGATCAAGGTAATGGTTTTGGTTGTTAAAACTTGGATGACCTTTAGTAATCTCTTCTTATCTTGCATGGATTATGATTAAAATCTTACTGCTATCTAGCTGTACTTATTGCTTAGGTTTCATTCTTATCAACAGGTTAATGGGTTGGTGGTCAATTGATGAAGGAAGCAGAGAGGAGCAGGCAAGACTGTATTATCCTGGATGTTCAGGGTATGTTTCATGTACTGTTGTTTACTTTCAGTTTGAATTTTTTTCATCAAGTTAGGATCATTTCTCTTTGCTTGGCTGCATGAGTGAGCACAAACGAACATCATAGTTTCTCTTGAAGTTGTTTATGGTACTTGCTAATCTTGCCATGCAAAGCATAGTTCACCTGCACACAATTGAGCTTCAACTGAATGTGTTGTTTGCTTCATTTTTGCTTGTAACTTTCAGACTAAAAAGATAGGAATGAGTTTTATCTGTCTGATTCTCCTTTTATCCTTATTATTCAGCTATAATACATTCTCACCAGATGTCGTGAAGAAGATGCCTAAATCTGAACTTGTTGAGGAGGTTTATTTGTATCATTCTCTCCATCAGCAAATTTCTGTGCTTTACATACTCACTTTAAAGAAATTTAAATCTTTAATTATTTTGGTAACAGATTTGGAGATTGCAAGCTGCATTAGGTGAGCAAACAGAAATCACAAAGTTTAGCCAGCAGGAGTGTGAAAGACTTCAAAATGTATTAATCCAACATAAGAGCTAGTTTTTCATTTTTATTCTTTTCTATGCTTTTGGTGCTGTTTTACTGACCCAATGAATCCACCAGGAAAAAATCCTATGCAGAGTTTGCTTTGAGGATCAAATTAATGTTGTGCTGCTTCCGTGCAGGCATCATGTCCTTTGCAGGTACATAGATCTGCCCTTATACTGCAAATATACTCACTTTTGCAACATTCATTAGTGGATTAGCAAATATTCTGAAATATTTGTCTCCCTCAGGGGAAACCATCTTTAGTACATGAATTCTATCCTATTCGATAATATGCCTTCCCAATAAAAATGTTGGACCTTACTAGTCATAGGCAGAGTGAGAGGGTGGTCGAGGGAAGATCAAAGTTCTTGCTTGCACAACTAGGGCTGTGATTTTTCCATGCGCTCTATTCATTTTTTTTATTATCTAAGTGAGGGGTTCGTCAAGGGAAGATAAAAGTTCTTGCTTGTGCAACTAGGGCTGTGATTTTCCCACTCGCTTTATGCATTTTTTTTTCTGTTATATAAGATTTCCTGTTTGTTTTCATTTGAAACTTAGTGAAATTTAAATGTTATATGTGTGGATCCTTTTGCTGATACATTTGTCAATTCCAGCACTTGCTGTGAGAAGTGTAAGAAGTGCCCTATCTGCCGTGTCACAATCGAAGAGCGACTGCCTGTATACGATGTGTAGTTCAATTATATCCACAAGATGGCTAGAAAGCTTCCTTGCTGCTTATATGTTTTTGGATGAAGCATGCAAAGAGAAGATGACAATTGTGTGGGGTTATCTGATAGCACAGGGGAACCGCATCAAGCTTTGGAAACCATTATCAAGTTTGTGAAATTGTCACCAAGTGTTTGAACCATTGTCCGGGGAAAATTCTTCCTGTGATTTCCAGTTCAAGAACATTGATATTTTCAACAACACGTTTTGTATTACAATAGCACATTCTGTCTGTTCCATAAATATCTGTCATTAGTTGTATTCTTTCGCTGAAATCTGAGATTGGTACTCACTTCCATTAGTTGTACACTCCATTAGGATATTGGCTCATAACTTGTATTGTTTTGCCTCTTATCAGAAACTGAAAAACCCAATTCATAAACTCAAAAGAAATTTAATTTTAACAATGCATAGTTACCATTTTGTGTCTAACGTGGTTTGTTGAATAAATGCTTTTTTGATATTGGGATTGAGCTGGGATTTGATAAAACTATATTTACAGTATTTGACGATTACAAACAATGGTTTTTAAGAAACAAAAAAAAAGTTAAATTTAGTAAAACCGCTGTTCTGAAAATCAGTTTTGCTTCAAAGATTCATCTGACAAGCAATTTGCTTGATTGCTTCTATTTCAAGATAGCAGAAAGCTAATGTGAAAAACAACAGGCAACTTATTTATTAACGGAATTATTTAGTAATCTCAGATTGCAATTACATTTCCCTTACAGTGGGATAGCTCTCTTATTTCTTAACATTTGCTCTCACCCATTTAAATCTAACCACAAAACTCTAAAATTCCTTACGGGTTCAAGAGCTCGATTACTGAACCACATTTGATCAGCTAAAATTCTATCGATTACAATTTATTTACTTTAAATCTTAAGGTCACCATAGACAAACTTTCTTTTCCCTGACGCATACTAAGAAATACACATTCCAAAAATAAATCATAACAATCCAATTGAATTCTTGGAAATAAAATATTATTTCCCAACCAGTAACACAAACAAGCAAGCTAGGCACAGGTTGCTGTTACTATGAGTGGTTCAACCATAGCAGTTTCATCTCTAGCTTTCTTGTTCACAGGCTTCTCATTTGCATTTGGAGCAACAGTTTCATCCTTCTTGCCGTCTAATCTGAGAAGAAATTCTCCAAAACATTCATCCAATGTTCGATATGGTTCGTCAGGATACAGACTGGACAATTCAACATCATTAGGACCATCAATTGAAAAATTGATTTGGCAACCTCTGATGAAAATATCATGGGTAAATGATGCAACAATACTCTCTGGAATTTGATTTTCTGCGCGAAGAAAAATAAAACAAAAACACAAATAGGAAATTCGGTAGTGTTAATTTTAATTTTTTTTTTTTTTTTTTACTGTGAAGATAGAATTAAGAGTGATAAATTAACCTGCAGCTACAGCAAGCAGATCATTTTCAGTGATTGTAGCTCTAGGAAGTGTTTTTCCAATTTTCTTTTCCCATAAAGCTGCAAGTTCATTCATGTTGTAAAAATTGCAAGATGGTCGGAAATGAACCAACTTGTTTATGGTTCGAACATCATCAGCAGCTTTCACTGTAAATTTTCCAATGTCACTTCCAGCAACAAAGTAAGCTGCAAGAGAGACTTGTTATATTGGTTTAACTGTTAAGCACCGACGCGACTATTCTTACAAAAAAATAGCATTTACATATGGAAATTGTTGAAAAATGAAATGTATAATAATGGAAGAATTATAATGAACCATCGATGGACCTGGCATAAGCCAATTGATTTGATGCAAGATGGTGACTTATAAGTCTATGTTATGTACGGGGGAGGTCAGGGGTAGCCCGCAACCCCCTAACTAAAATTCTTTTTAAGAATTATCTCATAAAATTTTAAAATTTTTTTATTTTACCCCTTAAAATAGTAAATATTTTTAATTTCACCCTTCTTAATTCTTGAAATCTTTTTTAACCTCTTCTGAGTTTAATTCTTGGCTCCGTATCACAGTATAGAGTCATCGAAACTTTCATCTCCATCACTTTCATGACAGTAACTTCTATCCACTACTATAGTGGATAGATTATTGTTGTCCCTCTTAAAGTCTATTGCCTCCTCACCCAATATTCTAATTAGCACTCCCACTAATGTGGAAATATAATTTATAATTATACATACCAAAAAATTAGAATAGAAATTGCAACTTGCTCACGAGTTTGACTAAAAGAGGTAGGAAGCCTTAATTTTTAATTTCATAAACTAATAATAATAATAATAATCATCATCATCAACCCTACCCATTGATTACAATTTTTTTTAAAAAGTTAATAATATTTTTTGTACAACAAAATGTTGTTTTCAAAAAGAATAAAATTATTAATTGAAAAATTTTGGTCATAAAAAGAAAATAGAGCAGCCTCGTGACAAGGACATAGCACCTATTTTTTCTTTTTTTACCCCTTAAATTTTTGCAATTAGTCAAATTTAAGTCAAGAAAAAAGAAAGTGACGGCTACTTGTAAATTGCGAGGAAGCTTTTGATCAATGGAAAACATTGTCCTATTAGCTAGAGGTCTAGTTTTAAATAAATAAATAAATATCGAGAAAATTAAAAAATAATTAAAGTTATAAATCAAATTAAATTAAATGCCTTTTTTATTAAAAATTAAGAAACATAATTGCACTACACTAGAGGGAGTATTACTTTAATCCTACCTACACTAACTAATAATAGCATTAATCATCTTACCAAAAAAAGAAAAAAAAAAGAACTATTAACCTACCACAAGCATATCCATTTAATATAAGAAGAATGTTTTAAATATTCACTTTAACTTTGTGGTTTATATGAATTTCTTTATTATAGATTATTTTTTAATAAAATGTGAGGGAAAATATCATACATTATAAACATTATTTTCAAAAAATATTATTTATTTGAAATTTTTTTAATTTATATTATCTACGTCTATCTCTTAAACTTCTTTTATATATATATTTCATGATTAGATCACTTATCTATATATTTATGTGCAAAGTGTGGAATAATAATCGGTGTTTTAATAAATTTAAAAGAAATGCTAATAAATTTAAAAGACATTGGAAGTTGTTGGACACGCTTACAACGACATTTGTTGTTAATTGCTACTACTGCGTACCTCAAAACCTACTTGTCGTCTAGGCTACAAAAAACAGAGTCAACCGTACTCGTAAAAGGAATTATTAGCTGTCGTGTTTTTGTGCGAAAAAGACATAAATGCGTGTTTATAGAATTAACAATTAAAGAGAAAAAAGTTTAGTTCGTTGGAGTAAAAATTATTACTTTCACTTTACAAATTTCTTTCCTACTCTTGTTTTTCTTTCAGTTCTAGCATTATAAATATTCTGAACTTGTTTTAGTGTAAGCATATGTAAGTTCTAACTGAAAATTGAATCAAATCGAAATTATTTAATTTAATCAGATTATCTAATCTAACAAAATCGATTCTGTTGAATTTTTATATATTTATATTTGTGTAATTGTTTCCAATTTAAATTTTATTATTTTAAAATTTGATTTTTTTTTTAAAGATGAACGAAATCAAACTAGTTCAATTCTCTTATTATTCTTTCTCAACTCGAGAAATTGATGAGTTAAGATCCTACTGAATATAAATACAAATAGTCTTAACGGGAGGAAAATTTTCTAAAAATATTTGGAAGACTTCATTTTCTGAGCTCTTATGGCCCACGCTAAAGGAAAAATGTAAAAGTTTAAGAAAAAAAAAATCATAATCAAGGTACCTTTGGTGTTTCCATCACCGTAGATTTGAAACTCATCCAATGGAGGGATGGCATCTGCAGGGTGTCGGTTAGTATAGTAAGGCCAAGAAGCAATTGAATTGCAACAAATGTACGTGTATGGTATTCCGCACTCCTCGATCAAGCGTCTAACTTTTCTCTTTTCTATGTACATTGTTAGACCTGGCTCCACTGGATCAGCCCTATCCACGTCATGACCAAATTCTGATGGCAAATACCTCTGCAACACGTATTTCAATTATTATTAATTTATTGAATGAATTCAACGGATTAGACTCGTGGTGGACAACATGTGACCAAATCAATTAAAATAAGCAAAATTTAAAATTTTTTTCCAGTAAAAATGGTAAGAAATAAATTTGTTTTAGTGAAAATTTATTTTTTTTATAAATGTGATCTATGACTGTGCACGTATAGACCAGTCTAAAAAACGTACATTTAATCGGCTATCTCTTTCATAAAAAAACGTACATTTAATCGGCTTACCTTAACAGTGCCAACAGCGTTGATAGCCTCAACTAGAGCAAGCTGGTCTAATATACATTCACCACCTATAGCTGATATTACTACATCAATCTTATGCTCTTTCAGTAACTTCTTCATGTTTTCCTTTTCATTAATCGATCCCTTAAAGAATAACAATGGAAAATAAATTAGCAAAAAATACTGATTAATATTAATAAATATAAATACATATATATACATGCAAGATTATGGCTCCTTTCTCTTGAAAAGACTTGATAAGTTTTTCCCTAGAAGGAGAAGTTGTTGGAGTAGGCCGGATGAGAACATAAGTTTGCCGGCCGGAGTCTAAACTTGCCGTAACTACAAACTGGCCGATAAAACCAGTTCCACCGGCGATGAGAACTGAAGTGTTGGGGAAGGGAGTTGAAATAGTCATTCTTGAAACCAAAGTGTAATATGTAAATATATTCTGGACCAAGAATTTAAGTTTTCAGAGGTCGAATAGGGCTTTGAAAGACTTTCAAAAAGCTGACTAGGCTGAAGAGAAGTATTGGAAACATTAAGGTTATATATAGGGAGGGATTCTTGGTTTTGGACTCTTTTGTCACTGCCTAAAATGAGAAGGATATTAAAGGGGATTAATAGGATAACGGAAATGCTAATAACAACTATTATCATTTCAGGTTCAGCTACCATTCAAAAGCGTTCCGTTACCTATAATTTATATTTTTAATTATTTCTTTTTTTTTTTCATAGCTCAATATAATAAATAGGAAAAATTTTTGAAGAATTTTTAATTTTATTGTTCTGCTCCATAAATGAGCCCAAATAGAAAAAATACTTGTCGATTTCACGTGTATAGTAAAAAATACCATCATTTCAATAAAAGTATTTAATTTCATTAATTAGGTCCGTCGTGGACCTAGTCTGGGTAAATTTTTTTCATTTGAAAAATTACTTTCCAGCATATATACACCAACACATGTTTTGTTCTTTTTTTTAGTCAATAAATTATTAACAATATCCTCACTTAATTGACGTGTCTTTATTAAATTGATTTGATCGTTGGTGTATGGATAGTCTCATACATCCGGTGTAGGTAAAAATTTTCATATTATTTAGTGACTGTCATACTTTAAATATTAAGGGGATAAAATAAAATTTAAAAAATAAAAATAAAATTGAAGTGGCCAAGCTAGGGTATAAAATTAAGAGGGGCAATTTTTAAGTTAATGGATACATGGTTAAAACAATAAAGTGAAATGACTTAAATCCTGAGTTTGTACTTGTAATTTTTTTTTATAATTGTTTCCTCTCTCATTTATACTCGTGATTATGATTGTAACATTGTTTCAGAAGTTATATTAATCTTATATCAAAATAATATTTTACATATAAAAATTAAAAATTTTAAAAATTATTGTTACCGGATAAGTATAAATTTTTATCAAACTCTTTAACGTTTAGCACCTGCAAAATTTGAGGTGCCGGTAACATTTTATATAAGAAGTACAGGGTGAAGCCTAAACAAAATTGATGAAAAAAAATTTTTCGATTTTGACCGGACGCTCTTGACTTTTAGGTAGGAGTACGTGTGTATATATATTTATTCATCATTTGTATTTTCTAAATCTTGACTGATAGACAACAACCTCGTGATTGTGAATAGTGAGTTTTAAGCCCCAAAATGAAAGAAATTATTAATTATTTATAAATTATTATTTAATCCTTAATTTGAGTCAATTAATTATTTTGTTTTTTATTTTAAGCAATATATTAAAATATCCTTTTATTCTTGATCAATTAATTATTTAATCCTTCTATAAAATCGTGAGGTTGGATACATGTATCCATAGTATTTTACCTATTCTAAGCACAAGATGAAAGCATAAATGTCGACCGAGAATATCAAGTTTTAATACCAAATGAGAATCTCGAGCATTAATATTACAATAAACTTGTTCTTTGATGAGTGGTACTTTATTTTGAACTAGTCTAGTAACACCCAGAAGATTTTATGAATTTCTTCTATCAGATACATATGCATTGTAAGCAAAGGGAAAAAAAAAAAAAAAATCGGAAATATGCATGTAAGTTAAGGTTTTGACCAATCGTTTCATAAAGAACCAAATAACCACATGTTGATATCATAATTCATAACAATTATTTACAAAGAAAGAATTAGTCTAAAGTTATGACATCATAACATCACTTAAGCTCCCAATTAAGAATATATTAAAGTTTTTGAAAAGAAATCAAATAAATGAATTGAAGTGGTCCCCTTGAATCCATTTTGGTTTATTTTCTTAATCTTTAAGATTTAAGAATATTATCGTTTTGTCCTTGAGGTATAACCGAATTATTTAAGTAGTCTTTGCTATTTAGTCAAATATATAATTGCGTCATCCTAACCAGAGCTGTTCAATTTTAAGGGTTTTGGTTATTCAATGTTTCTTAGCCAGCACGTAAGCAACTAGCTTAAGTGATTCCAAAAGTAGCAAGTTAAAGCCTAAGAAAGGCTTTGGTTGGGACTCTAGTGGAGATCATAGAGCAAATCAAAGAAATGAGCAGTAATCGGATTGGTAATTTGAAACTTCATTGGTCGATTGGACTGAAAAAAAAAAAATCTAGAGGGACTAGTTTTTAGGAGACTTCATTGTGAAGGCAGTATTATGATCTGATGCTATCAACGACTGCGAAGAATGAGATTGAAGCATATATGCACATGCATAAATTGATGAGAGTGAGAGAGATAGATGAGAGGGTTAGATTTGACGTTGAGATTGTTATCTGAGCCCACTTATATTGACAATTTGAATTTTTTAAATTTGGTGTTGTATTAATCGGATCCATCCATTAAAAGATAAAATATTTTTCGCTGAGTATTTATTATAAATACTCTATTTATAAGAATTGAAGTTTCAACCATTTTTATTTACTCCTTATATGTTGATGATAAAAAAAAAAAAAAAAACTCTTGCAATTCTATATCCTATTCTATAGTATCTAAATCAATCTTACGTCACCAAGCCAATGTAATAGTCTCCAAGAAAAAACTCTTACGTAAGAAGAAACTTCTTTTACAACAACTGGTTGGTTGATGGGGTAGTTACACCAAATTAAAACGCAGTGGTATGAGGATGTACTTCATTTTTACCTTTCCAAAACTTTTAATTATTAATTAGGGATTGGAGGCCTCGTGACTCATATCATAACAATATATTAATCTCATTTGCATAAATGAGTAATTGCGCACAGTAAAAATAATTACATATATAACCAATCATGTGTGGTTAGATTAGTCTTTTCACTTACGTCAAGAGTATGAAATTTTCACCAATTTTTATGAATTAAGAAGAGAGTTACTCCTGTCGTGTGTTCCGCATTATTATTTCGGACTATTGAACTTTTCTATGAATAAAAAAAAATGTTACAATAATATAATGAAATGTATTTTTAAAAATAAAAATTTATTTTTTGATTTTAGCTCAGACCAAGGTTAAATTTTTGAACGAAAATATTTGAATTTCAGATCACAAATAAAATTATATCAAATACATTTTATTTACTTTACAAGCTTGTTTTCCTGGTCGAAGAGAGAAAAAGGTAAGAATTGTTTGCCAGCGAACACTCCCTCTTGTGAATTGTGATACCCAACCATCCAGTCAAACGCAACTCATAGATGAAAGCGTGATCATCGCGGTGGATATATACATACATTTATATTGACAGAGAATGTTGTTTTGACCATTGGATTAAAAATATTTAAATATAAACCATTAAATTTAAAATTGAATAAACAATTTAAGAATATTTTTCCCCAATGCAAGTTTTTTAAATAAATTATTTAAAATCTTAATGACTAATTATAATTTTTTTTCTTTATCTTAAAACTAAAACGTCTATCATGAATTTGTGCAATATATATGATTTTTTTTAATTAAAAAAATTAAATTATGTAATTCAAATGTTTTACTAATACAAAAGAAATACGCTTAAAATAAAAAAGAATTATTAAGATATAAAAACATCATATAAATAAAAAATATTTCGAGTCTTAATAATATTCTGAAAAAAGAAAAATCATAAAAACACGTTATATTAGCAAGCTTCAACTACTGTACCTAAAAAAGAGAAAAGACACTAACTACCTAAGAATATGCCAAAATTTTCCATAAAAAAAAAAAAAAAGAAAAGAAAAGAGTATGCCAAAATTATAGGCTGCTTTTAGTTTTGAAAAAATAATTAATTTTTTTCATATACCTTAGTATCTATAATTTTTTTTTTCATTTAATTTTTAATAAATATCTTTTTAATTTATTCAAACGTCTATTATTATTTTTTAATATACGGATATATTTTCTAGGATGGAGGTAAAATTATTTTTTAAATAATATTAGTTAGGTTCAAAACCCTTTTTTTAAAAAAAAATATATATATATATTTTAAAAGTTTGGTGGTATAGAAGATTTAAACATCAAAATTCCAACGTAATTAGCATGTAAACATGATTAAGTAGAAAGTAACTTGACTTGAGATCAAAACAACAAAATAAATTAAAAGGTTTGTGTACAGGTGATCGGTGAATTGACTAATTTCTTGCAGGATGATATTTAATTTTTGTACCTTTAGTTTGGTGGGAGAACATAGATTGTGACAACCAAAATCATAAGCTGTCTATGACTTCCTTCCAACAGCCGGGACAACTAATTAAGAGGAGTTGATTACTCTTTTAACTAGTGTAAGAAATGAGAGATTTTGAATTTGAATTTTCTCAATTATAAAAGTTTTTATCAATTTAATAAATCAAATGGAGGATTATCCTTATTATGTAACTCATCGTTTTATTTTGATTCATTTACCTCATAATGAATTTAAAAAATTTTCAAAAATTTAAGAGACTAAATAAAAGAAAAATTCAGCGTAAAATAAAAACTTTGGTATTTTTTACTAATTTTGGAAATATATAAAATTATGATACTTTGAATGGAGCAGAGGAAGTATTATATTTCTTTGTAGAGTGTACTATGTAATAGTGCACGTAATTTGTTTAGGTTTGAGATTTTGACGTGCAACCTAATTCTGATACAAGTTCTAAACAAGAACAATACTTAAAAATATAAAATCTATACTAAAAACTTTCAACTTAATCCTCTAGGGGTGAGATAGGATGACATAGATCCCTTATTCTTTAATCAGTTAAACACTCGGAAGAGAGCGTTTTGTCTCCTTTTGTGGGTCTGTCCGTCGCAAATCCGGATTAGTCGGACCAGTGGGCTTCTGATACCGGATGGTTTAATAGGTACCTTACTCGCATTAAATATTTATAAAATTATTTTTTTTTCATTTAATTATTAATTTATCAGGAAATTATCCCAAATTATTTTAATTATCCCAAATTGAAAGTAGATAAGAAATTGAAGTGTTATAAAAGCCTACTCAAATGAAACAGATTACCTGGGCAATGGATTCAAATAAGAATTATTTTAATTTTAATTAAATTAATTTTGTTTTAATTATTTAATTAAGTTCATAATTAAGACATTTTTTTAATAGTTACTTCATAAAAAAAAAAAAAAACTTTTTATGTTCTTTATATTTTCATGGAGTATTTTTTAACAATTTTGGCCTGTAACTATTTCGCTACTTGGAGATAGATATGGAAAATAATATTTAAGGAATAATTAAATTAAAAAAAGAATAAAAAAGCATGTAATTAAGTATTTAAATTGAAAAAGTAAAACATAAATGTTAAAAACTTTTTATAAAAAAATCTTACAATTTTTAACTTGTTAACTTATTAAATGTTTATATTTTTTATTTTTAGCTTTTATTTAATAGCACTAATATTTTATACAAATAAAAAATAATTATTTTTAAAAATTAATTTCTGAAATTCAATACACTAAAACTAAACTTTTTAAAAAAAAAAAATCTTATTCTTCATTGATCTAACAATATAAGGGAAGTATACTGTATTTTATTATAGTATAAAAATAACATAATTACCATAATTGTTAATGTTTTAGTTGAAAATAATTGACTAATATATTAGTTGAAAAATAATTAACTCCAAGAAGAATTTATTTATAAATTTACTTAAATTAAGAATTTATATATATAAAAAAAAAATTAAAGCCCACAACAAAGTAAAAGTATATAGAAGATAAAAGAAAATGAAAAAAAAGTTCATTTAAGACCCCAACAATGTTGAAAGAAATCGGATATAGTATATGATTAGTTGTGGATAGAGCTATCCTTTTTCATTCACTTTATCTATTTCATCTCTTCTTGGGTAAGGAAAGAAATTCATTTTGATCTTTTTTAAATATTTTTTTTATTTAAGTGGATTATTTAAAAATAAATAAAAGTGATAAGAAGAGAGAAAAGAAAATGAAAAAGAAGCTAAAACACTGGTTGGATCGTCACCATAGTGAGAAAAGTCATAGCAAAAAACTTGTTGGAAAAAGGTCTAATGGCAGAAAAATTAATTTATCACTATTACCGACAGATGCTTAATTCGTCACTAATTGATTATTTGGTTTGTTGTTATTTTATTTCCGCATGTCGTTGCTGTTCTGATGCTAATATTAAAAAAAAAAAGAAGGGAAATGCATAAATCCGCCACTAATTTATTTGTTTAAAAAAAAAGTCAATAATTCATTGCTAAAATCTGAAAATCGAAAATTTTAAATATTTTTTATTGCTATTTATTTTTAGTTCTTTAATTTTTTATAAGTAATTAAAGTAGTTATAGTATTTATATTTTTAATAATCTATCTATGAATCTGTATAAAAACTGAACCAAAGTGAAGATTCAGAATTTCTTGAAATAATCGGTATTCTATTTATCTTTTTCATAAAATTTTAGCATTTTTTTAAATTTTCTACATTTTGATTGTTTGTATATTTTAAATAAATATACATACATAACTATAATATGTACATTTTAAATAAACGTACATACATAATTATAAATAGTTAAATACATTGAATGTTTATTTGATAAATATTGACTATAAAAATGTTAGTTTGAGTACAATACTCTCAGTCTTGTTCGTATAACAATGTTAATTTGTACGCTACTATTAGCAAAATTATTTTTACATTTATCTTTAAAGTACAAATTATAATTTCTGTTTAATTTAATTTTTAAAATATGAACTCTACGTAATTTGCAAGATAAACAAAATGTCTTTTTCTTTTGTAAGAACAAAATGTCTTATTTAGTAATATTCTTTTTCATTTATGATTATTTTTATTAAGCTCACTGTATTAAAGTGAAATAGAAGATCCATTAGAATATTAAAAATAAGTATAATTTAGAAATTGATAATGGGTTCTAAATTTTCAAAATTTTGATCCATAAAAGGGACAAGAAGTAAATGATTAGAGACTTGTTCATAAGTTAGACTTAAATTTAAAAATAAAATATCAAATTATCTGAAAGCTCTGATCCAAGTTTATGGCTCCATTTGCCAGGAGGCCCAGAAACCTTTCAATGGACTTTGCGTAGCAATATATGGTTTTTATATAATTTTTTATCATAAGTTATTTAATTTACTTTTTAAAAGAATAATGAATTAAAATTAAATACTAATAAAAAAGGGTGAGTTTGCACGTCTTCTGTTTATTTATTACTTTGGTTGGGTCCCATTATTTACTCCATCAGATTCCATCCTAACCGTTGGATTTTGACGCAGCTGGCGAAGTTAACTCGAAAACGCGTGCCTATTAAACTCAGCCGAATAATTGACCGTCGATGACGTAGATAATAAACAAAAGAAGTCTATGGCAGAATTTCTAGACAGTACAAAATGGGAGAATTTCTTTTTGTTTTTTCCCTTAAAAAATAGAATAAAGTTATAATTTTTTGTTTTCTATGTAATTTCCGATTTCCCTCCTTTTAAATCACAGAAAAAGAACAGTAAAACACGGTTTCAAATTTCAAAATGGAATCAATAAGAGTCAAAAAGTAAATGTCTTTTCTTTTCTCCTTTTCATATCTGCTATAGTAGAAGAAGCCATTGACTCTCCAAGAACCGACGCAGGGGAGGATTTTCGTGTTAGCTATTTGGAATCTTTCGATTTTTTGATCAATCATCAATTTTTTTTTTTCATTCTCTAATGTCTGGGTAAGAATCTCAATCTCTCTTTGCCTTTTCTTATTCAATATAGAAGAATCACATTGAACCATTGTATTGGGTATCCTTATTGCTGTGTTGGATTTCTTTAAATTTCAACAAAGAGGTCCCTTTATAGTTACCTTTGTCTTTCAGCTGATATTTATTGTTCTGCTTTTCAAGTTTGGCATGAAAGATCATTTGGGTAGTTGCCTATAAAATTTACACGTTGAGGTAACTTTCACTCATTTGATTTAACCTAGGTGAGGTTGCAGTGGGCACTTCTGGGTAAGAATCTCAATCTCTCTTTGCCTTTTCTTATTCAATATAGAAGAATCACATTGAACCATTGTATTGGGTATCCTTATTGCTGTGTTGGATTTCTTTAAATTTCAACAAAGAGGTCCCTTTATAGTTACCTTTGTCTTTCAGCTGATATTTATTGTTCTGCTTTTCAAGTTTGGCATGAAAGATCATTTGGGTAGTTGCCTATAAAATTTACACGTTGAGGTAACTTTCACTCATTTGATTTAACCTAGGTGAGGTTGCAGTGGGCACTAACATTTTGTGTTGATTCTGGTTGTTTATTTTTGCGGGAAAGTAAGTTTCAGTTGTTAGCATTTAGCGGGTAATTTATTGTTCAGTTGATTTTTTTTCTCTGCATTGGGTATCACATGAATTGGGTTCTTACTTTTACTGAAGAATACATGTTGGAGAAGTAGTGTTCGTGCGAACGGTCGTATCATTTCAAATTTGAATTATTGTAGGTACTGAAAGTTGAGCTAATGTCATTGTGCGCATAAGCAATAATTCAGTAGTGTGAATTTTGCTATTTTCCTGTATTGATGTTGTAATAATTCTCTTGTTGAACTGCTCTAATATGGCATATCTCCTGTTGTTACTTGCCTTTTTTTGGGTACGTTGACAGTTATCTTAATTTTTAGTTAGAAGTTTGCGCTTTTAAGCCTTTGTTTGTGCCTTACACGTGGTCACATAGATAACTTGGAATTAATTACCACCTCTTATTCATTCTTGTTGGTATTGATGTTTTAAGCTTAAATAATGACTTTGACAGATAATGCATTTAATAATTGAATATAAAAATTGAGTCACTTTTTTCACTGGCATTTGAAGAATATGGTCGTAGTTAGAATCAATGGCATGAGGAACGCACCTTGCTCATAGTTACCGGTAGTCTAGTCTTATAAGTTATGAACAATTGTAATATATGTTGCTTTCTTTTCATTTTGACATTTCCAAGTTAGGCCCTCTCCATGAACATGTATTTTGGTGCTAAGAAGTGAAATTAAAGGTGATTTTGTTGTTCTGAATTTGTATAAATATTTACATTGATGTTTATAGGTAATTTGAATCTGACTCTATGCATAACAGGCTTCACTTACATGATCTCTTGACTCTTCTCAATCTCTTATGTCTGATTATTTCATTAGATATACCTCATTGCAACTAAGACTAAAGAGACGTATGATTATAGTAACTTTGAACATCAGATTTAAGGATCATTATATTATGTGTCTATGTTGCTCAATTTACTAATACGTCTTATAAATTTTGTAGACCATCATGGCTGGTGGATGGTAATAGATTTGCAACAAAAATTAAGAGTGCATCTGATCCTGAAAAGGTGAAATGGGAGAGCAATCCGTCTAAAGCTTGTCCGAATTGCCAACATGTTATTGACAATAGTGATGTGTGTTTTCTAACTTCTATTTATCTTTGATTCATTTATTTATCTTTGTTTATTCTATAATTATGCAGACTAGTTGTTTTGTAATTTTGGGTGCAGAGTTCTGTCTTGTTTTATCTTTTCTGGTAGTCTTACGACTGGGGAGTAGGACTTGATGTTGCTATTGTTTGATATTGGAACATCACTCAAATATCTGTCAGTGAGAAATATGCATATCAATTTAATTGATTATTGGTTGTATTTGGATCATGCATAAACACTAACTGTAGGATTACAAAATTGAAAATGATTGTATGAACTTCTATTCATCCTTTTGGCGTTAATCCAGCATTTCGGGTGAGCATCCAACTAAAAAGTAACAGTTGATACTGTTTCATTATACTTATTTTTGAACTTTACTAGGAGAAGCTGAAGCTTTTACTAGCTGCATTATTCATTCTTTCCTAGTCCTTCCTCTCCTCTCAATTAATGACTTGAAATTTTGGAGTATCTGTTTGGTTCACAGCATGTGGGACAAATATGGGCTGTAACTTGAGATTTTTGTGGTTGGTTTATGCAATGATTTGAGATTAACATTAATCTCATATTTCAAGTCAAGGTGGGATGATGCTATTACTGAGATTATGGAGGGGAAGCTTAATTCATGGCCACTTGGAATGTGAGATAATAATGTGCCCCTGTTGTTAAATCTATTTCAAAATAAAATGTGTTCACTATTAATCATAATGGTTGTAGTTTCTCTTTTCTGCTATAACAGTACATTCATTCTTAGAATAGAGTTGCCAAAAACTTAGCTGAATGCATCTGATTTATCTTCTACTGTACGTTCTTTGTAAATATAACTCATTAATTGTTGCATATGGTCCCTTATACTCTTATCTATATTCTTCTAAAATTCTCATATTTTACAGACTATATTATGAGTTATGACATTAATAAAGTGTGGTACAAGAAGTGAATTTATGGAATTTCATGTCATTGGTAAAACTCTTATTTTGGTTATTTCAATTTCAACCAAAAGTACAATCAGATTTGTTGAAAGATAAAAAAAGAAACTAATATCAAAGAATCATAGTTAGCTATTTCAAGCTCAAGGTGCATTGAGGCACAAAGGGGTTCTAGAGGCTACACAAAATGCCAGGCATGCGCCTGAGAAACTTAAGGCATGCAATAAACAAATGAAGACACATAATGCTGCATAAGACAAGTATTCATAATAACAAAATAAAACAATATATTATCATCAATATTCTTGGAATCCAGACAAAAATAAAAATATGTTAAAGAGTTCTAAACCATAATCCTGGAAGAATGTGTTTCTAAGTTTTCTGCTTGGCCATGGGAGGATGGGTAGACATTTAGTAGAAATAAGAACACATAATAGCACATAAATTTTGAATTGCGTTATAACTAATTTACTATTGAACTGAATGGATGTATATTTGTACATGTAGATACTAGAGGTTTGTATACCGTACATATATGGTAATTATCCTAAGTTTGGTATACTTAGTGAAAAAATTAGCAGAATTGCATTTCTTTAACATCAGTCACCTTTTATAATAAGAGGCACGTTCAACAAGTATATAAGAATTGAAAGTTTTTAATGGTTATTTTACCAAAATATCTGCATAATCCAAAGGATACAACAACACAATAATCGTAAATTTGCATCCTGGGAATCATATAATTGGGCATCACATTTCTTAAAGCTATCTAAAATGTAAGTTAAAACCCATAAACTAACCAACATAAGTATTTAGAAACATGCGTTTGAGAATTTTGCTATTTTTTCTAGAAGATAATGTAGCTCAATGTTGTAAATGAAATGGTTTTGTTGTTCATTTCGTATTGAATCCTTCTTGTTTGTAGGTTACTCAAAAGTGGCCTGGATTACCTAGAGGTGTGAAATTTGATCCAACTGATCAAGAAATTATTTGGCATTTACTTGCAAAAGTTGGTATTGGAGGTTTAGAACCTCATCCTTTCATTGATGAGTTCATTCCAACTGTTTACAATGATGATGGAATCTGCTATACCCATCCTCAAAATCTACCAGGTTAGAAAGAGTTCAACTTGGTTTTGTAATTTGACCCCTTATAATCTTTAGTTCTAGTTTTCAATTTTAAATTTTCAGGTGTTAGGCAAGATGGGAGCGTATCTCATTTCTTTCATAGAGCAATCAAGGCTTACAATACTGGGACTCGAAAGCGCAGAAAGATTCTGGGTGATAATTTAGGAGATGTCCGCTGGCATAAGACTGGTAGGACTAAATCAGTAATGGTGGATGGAGTTCAAAAGGGGTGCAAGAAAATAATGGTTCTTTACATGAGTTCAACAAGAGGAGGCAAAGCAGAGAAAACAAATTGGGTGATGCATCAGTATCACTTGGGCATAGGTGAGGATGAGAGGGATGGGGAATATGTAGTTTCCAAGATATTTCATCAGCAACAGCAGACAAACAAGGGTGATAAAGCTGAAGATGGCTTGTCTGAAAATACTGATATGATCGTAAAAGAAGATCCAGTCACTCCCAAGTCTGTCACTCCTGAACCTCCTCGCAATGAAAAGCGATGTCTAGATTCTGACTTTGGAAAAGCGAATGTTGTTACTAATATTTCTGCGGATCCTTTCACTCAGGTAAAGTCTATTTTCTCTTTTATTTTCTTCCCAATGATCATAGCCTAAAATTACATTTCAATTTTTTCCCTACCCTTGGCGTCATGAGCAAATCCCTATTTGAACTATATAAATATCAGAGCTTATTCACAATTTTCTTTTCTTTCTTTCTTTTTTTAAATTCCTTTTATTGACTAAAATATACAGTTTATAGCCATTCCCCTGTGATGCAAGGGCTATTTAGTAGGTATATGTTATGCTTTGATTGACAAAGAATATGCAATGAGTTAGTTCCAAAGATTAAATTCCATTTAAATCAAGTGCTCATTCAAAAGGAGGTATTGACATTTGTGTTTTGGTTTCTGTGTTCTTTTAAGCATCCTGAGATGGAATTTCTAGAAGTTCAGGTTCCACCTGAACATGAAAACACCAACTCTGATGACAAACTCAAGCCAGAAGATCATTCTGATCAAATGGTAGATAATAATGATAACAATATTGAGGAAGATACAAAATGGTGGGACAGTGAGTCGCAGAATCTCTTTGATTCACAACAGCTGGTGGAAGGGCTATCTTTGTGTGACGAGCTCCTTCAAAGCCAATCTCCTGACAGGTATGGAGACGGGAACAGAGCAGGCAATGGCAAACCCCGTCTTTCTGATTATTCCCAGTTAGGACCAGAGAATTTAAAGAAGGATCTAGAGGAATGCCAAAATCTTGTTCTTGATCCAGCTAACATAGAACTGGACACACCTCCTGAGTTCAGACTAAGTCAGCTTGTATGTCATCTGCACTATTTTATGTTGCTTTCCGCATTAGACATATTCTGTTATTACTTCTTTATTTAGTTTAGCAATAATGTATTGAATGCTTTTGTAGGAATTTGGATCGCAGGAAAGCTTTCTTTCATGGGGTGGGGGTAAGAAGATATAGACCAAGTACTTTTGGATGGCTTCAACAATTGAAACATGATTTTGTGCACTTACTTTTTGGATGCTTCGCCAGTTCAGTTGGGTTTTTGGAACTACAGATGCAGGATGATTTGATCTGTAATCGGGTTGGTGTCGAAGTTATGATTCTTGCAACCGAATATTTAATCATGCTAATGCTAATGCCTGAGAAGTGAGAATAGATCAAGGATACGGTCTGTTACTGTTTTGACTGATCATCTTGTACTAATGTTCCACAGCTTAAAGGCTAATGGATTTTATGTTGCATATATTAGAAACTAAAGTATTATTATGTTCTTACTAATGGCTATAATGGATTTATTTTTTGTTTTTGATGAGGCTTCGTTTTTATCTCTATTTTTCCCCAAAAATTGTAATTTCTCATCATTGAAAACAATTATAATGCCACTGAGTAATAGTAACTTATTTGATAATCAATCAAATCCAAATTCTCTCAAATGATTTGTTTTCGAATTAACAATTTCTCAGACTTAAAACGAGTTGTATTATCATTAGATCATAGCTAGTTGGTTAATAAATCAACTGAAAGTTGCCCGAAGGATTCGAACAATTCAGAAACTATTCAAACCAATAAGAAAAAATATCTGGGGTCGATATTAGAGAATCTGATCTGGCAGTTTTGGTGCAAGCTAGCTAGCTAATCTTGCAAAATCTTATATTCTGATATTTGTGTAACACAATTAGATTCAAGGAAGAAGCAAATTAGAATACCGTGTGGACCATAAAAATTATGAGAAGAAGTCATGGAATGTCAATACCAAGTATAATACAGAAAAGGTCAAAAGATTATATGAGGTAATGGAAGAGGACAGAAAGGATTGGCGAACGGAAAGCAACATTCATGAACTTAGAGTGCATTCCATGCATAATAAGATGTGGGTTCGAAAATGGCTAGACAAGGTCAGACCACTGGGCCAAGCCCTATTACTTTTGTGCAGCACTAACAATGGCTGGCTTTGGCTCCAACATGATTGGCTGTGGGGGTTAGCTGGAATAGGACCTAAACTCATTTGGGTCTGGCTGGCGCCTTGGCACTTTCCTCAATCCTGTGGGGAAATTATCTTTGGACAATGTTGTCAGAATCGAATCGAACCGAACCGACAACTGAACCAGCGCTATGACTGGATTAAGGTCGGATCGAGACTTTATTTTATGACTAGATTTGATTTTTTTTTTTTTTAAACTAAAACGGAACTAATTCATTAATCTGAATAAAAAGAAGCTAGTTCTTGTGGAATGATACTCCACTCTAAGAAACCAGCGCAACGGAAGCTTTGGCCTTAAAGTATTGCCTATCTTGGATTCAGGACAAGTATCTATCACCGGAATGCATTTTATTGACTCTCAAAATGTTCTTATTGCTTTACATTCTACTTCTAGCAATTTATCTGCTTTTTATTTTTATTTTTTCTTTTTTTTTCTTCATCTTATGTGAGCTATTATGCAATTAAAGAACAAACATATAGGGCCTCAACACCCTGGATTGTACAGTTTGGTCCCTGAAAAAAATAAATTCAAATTCAGCGAAATAGGAGACCATGTTAATATAGTCGCTTTCAGGAAATTAATTAAATTAAAATAAAAGTATTGTTTTTATGTTCAAAACATAATATTTTTCGGTTTGCATACTTATTTCAAGCTCAAACCAAAAGTAATATTCATATAAAACTCTTTCAATAATAACGACTTTAAATTTCAAATCCTCCTGACTTTGCAGATAAAGTTTGTCTGTCGATTATATTCGAAATATAGTTTTGATATTGTAATTAAATTAAGTCCAAAATTAACAAGATATGAGTATTCTACTATTAATTTAATAGCTAAATTATAACACAATAATCATATGTTGCATATAACAGAAATATGATATAATAATTAATTGGAATTGGTTCAAAGTAATCAATTACTAGCTAACTGATGGTTGGTATGCTAATCATAAGCTGACTCTGAAAAATCTTTCTAATTGATATTATTCCTAATGATTAATTGGCATAAAACATTCATAATCTTTCTAATTATCTGACATAACCACCCAACAGAAACTGTTTAGATATTTGTTATATTAATTGAGGAAATGCATGTTCATATGTTGTGTTGTTAGGTACTTGCAGTATTGGTATGCAAACAAACCAACTTTCCCTCAATCAAACATGTGTAGCCAGTGTCATAAGGACCGACAATAATGTACGACTTGTCGTATTCAAAGTAAATGCTTCTTGTCTGCATGTGAAATTGAAATGTGAATGTATGTTGTCTTTTTTCCAACTTTTTTTTTTTTTTAAGTTTTTATTTTCAATTCAAGCTTATCTGCAACGATGAAGTGGTTTGTTAAAGCATTCTATTAGGTCACCGAAAAAACATTGACTTGCCTTTTATCTATTGGGTTTTGCTTTTGTCTAAAAATTATAAACTCGTTTATTTTGGTATTTTGTGGTTAGATGACATCATACACTAACTTTTATTTTATTGCTTGCATACAACTTCTCTTTCTTTTTATTTATTTTTTAATACAACTTTTTTTCTAATTAATTATAAACTTAACACCTTCCATTTCATAAATACAAGAATACAAGTTCGATCCTTTAGAAATTACACTTTATCGAGGTCTAAAATTTTCACGCTTTACGGTTCGAGGAGAATTATATTTTAATATATATATATATAAACATTTATTTTTAGCAAACCATCAATTAATAGTAATCCAGAGAATGTTACATTTTATTTCAAGTACAAAATGGATATTCAGTCTTATTTGAAAAGAGCATTAAAATTTAATGCGGATTGAAAATTAAAAATGTAAAGAATATATAAATGTTAAAAGGACAATTAATTAAATGGTTAATTTTAACCTCCTTTTTGTGTAAATCATCGGTATTCGGACCCTATTATCAGATAGCCTAATCTGACTCGGGGTTTAATCACAATTAATACTTTTTTTTTTCTTCTGCAGGTGTGTTTAGTACAGATCAAACTCGAGAGCTCTTCTCACAATTAATTCTAATCCTGTCGATAGTACATTAACTTGGTAATAAGTTTAAGCTCAAATTCTAAGTTTCAATCCATTTAGTTGTGCTTTTCCTCTTAATTTGATAAATTGTAAAGTCAATTAATGTTTTAGCTTGCACAATTGAATTCTTTACCCATTTTACTAGGATTCTTCCTTTTTTTTTTTTAGTCTTTAAATACATGTCAAATCATAATCATCCTTGAATTCTTAATTGTCTTTTTCTCTTAACATCACAAATGTCAAGTTATTATTTTTTCTAAAAAAAAATTATTATTTTTTAATATCTAGTCATGCATCTTTTTCCTATTCCATGATGGAATTCCCATCCGCTTAATAATTTGATTTATGGAACTTAATATCCTTGCTCCCTCCAAAGTCTAGAACTCATGATTAACATGAATTAAAGAGTAAAAATAAAAGGAAAATTATCTTAATTATAAGAAGAAAAAAAAATCATTTCTTTTTTTTTGAATAAAAAAAATAAAAAAATAAAAAAATAAAAAAAAATCATTTCTAGTTGCTAGAAAAATTGCCTAATGAAAATGAAAGTAGTAACTCATTTTGAATTATAATCTTTCTTCTTTAGCATCACTTGCATGACTATCCTTTTCTTTTTTTCTTTTTTCTTTTTGCATTTGTCGGGAATTAGCATGATAAAATTAGACTATACTCGTAAAATTTGTCTAACGGTAAACTTATATCTATTATAAAAGAAAACTTAATTACGAATCATCTTTTTTTAATAAATTACATTTTACAGAAATGAATTAATGAAATTATACTTGATTTTTCTAATATCAGATAAATAAAAGATAAATTATAAAAATCTTATAACAATGACTAAAGCAGTCTTGATTAACTATCAAAACTGTGTTTGGCAACTACTTTTGAGTGGCTTTTTAACTGGTCAAAACGCTTAATCATATCTTTTATAGTGTTCAGACATATTCGGCAAATTAGTTGTTTGAGTAGCTGTTTGCTGTTAGATATTAGCTGTTAGTTGTTAGTTATTTATTTAGTTATTTAGAGCAAAAGTGTTTGGTGAAAATAGTTGTTTGAATAACTGTTAAATTTAAAATGACAAAAAAGACATTTAAAATGACAAAAAAACATTTAAATATTGAGTTAGAATTTTAAGTTATGACTATAAAGTAAACTCAATATAATAAAAAAAAGAGATAATTATGTGATGTGTTACTAATTTTTATCAAAAGAATGTCAATCTATAGTGTATAGTCCAACTATATAAAAGGAGGTATCGTTGCAGTATCACAGCAATTAGGTTTGAACAGTTTAATTACTTCTTGATATCTAGCTAATTGAGGAAGAGATTCACGCGGCAATTGAAATAATAAAAATTGATTTAAATTAAGGATAAGACGGTCAATAAATTTTTAATAAAAAAATGAAACATTAGGCGAAAAAACGTTTCACTAAACACTATATTATCTACTGAAAGCTGTTTTATAAATTATCTCACTGAAACGATGTAATACATCTAAACAGTGTAGTGAAAACTCTAAACACTTCAATGCCCTTGTCGAATAGAGCGTTCGATAACATAGCATTTAGACTAATTTTTAAAGATTAAAATAGCATTTTATAAAAAGTTATTTTAAATAACATTTAACTTTTATCGTTTTATGAAAAACTATTCAAACAGCTAACAATTACATAAATAATTAATTTTGCCTATAGATCAAAAATGATATCATACGATAATATAGGAATTAAACAAGAAGGAGAAGAAAAATCATCTAATAAATAGCAACAATCTTTGGTTAGTTGATTGAAAAAAATGCTGATTAGTTAGACATGAAAGTGACCTAATTAGAATCTTATCACAAGAGGCATAATAACTAAAGTAACCCAAATGAGAGAGGAAGGAATTGGATTGGAGGGTGGAATAGTAATGAAAAAATTCATGTGTGCAATAATTGAGAAAAAGAAGAAGAAAAATAAGAAAATTGGGGTCCCCTCGCAATTGAAAAATATTAAAATTAGTTTGATTGAAAAGGAAAAAGACATGTATGGTAATGGTGGTGGTGGTGGTGGTGGGGTTTAGGATTAGGAGGCGCACGTGGGCTTCATAAAGCTGCTATTTTGACCAGCTCTCTCTTTTTTCTATCTACGCATTGCTTTGTTTGGGACTAGACAGAGTGAAAGGTGGCAACTTCTTATGTGGCCGACAACACTATATCAATGTGGCTTCAATTGCAAAAATCATCTCCCCCACCACATCAAAATTACTCACCTAAATTAATACTATTTTATTATTATTTTTTTTTACATGGAATGAATATTTGAATAGTGTATTTTTAGATTCATAAAAGAAAAAAAAAAATCTAATTTTGGAAATATGCAAAATATCTCTTATCCAATTTGTTATAACTATTGATCACAAGCAAATAGCACCTAAATAGAATTAAAACCTTCTTATTTGCGATAATCTTGTTCAAATAATGAAGGCAAAAGAAAATTAGCAAAAGCAACCATTTTTGTTTTATGTGTATTTACTGACACATGTCTGACAAATATGTGCGGAAGGTTACAGTTTGTGTACACCAAAGAATATTTAGCATAAAATCCATATATGGCTGGCTGCAAAGAACAAAGAGGATTTGGATGAGTGTTCATCTTTAACCGTACACGTGGCGCACACGTGAATATGGGTTGTAACCCAATAATTCCTAGTAGTCCCACAGAACTGAGTTTGACCACATTTTCCATACAAGAAAAGAAAGAAACGGCTAAAAGATAATCCAAAAAGGGAAAGCAGAGTCCTTGTTTGGATGCTCATTTTATCAATTGTGTTTAAACCTAAATAATTCATTTAATCAATCGCTAATTGTATGTTTGGTTGTAGACAATCAAATCAGAGCAAGATTAAGATGTGGACAAGTGAACAAACTCTCGTTTTTTTTTAATATGTAACCTACGTGTTATTATAAGATAATAACTCCTTATGTGAATTTAATTGAATTGTCTAAAGTGACTCTATAACTTTATCTATAAACTAAACTAATAAAAATATAAATTTTATTAAAATGAATATATTTCTAACTATACACTGAAAATAAAAAGATAAAGTAGCAAAAAATTTTATATTTTATATTTTCGTTGATTTAATTCATAAGTGAAACCGTAAACTTGGTTCAAGCAAATATAATTCTGAATTTAAAGCCACAAATGAATTAAATTACGGGCTCGATTTGAAAAAAAAATTTATCTGTTAAATTTAACAAGTCAAACCCGAACTTGTTTATTGAAATCGTTTAATAAAAGCCAAAGAAATTAAAATAAGCTACTCACATATTTCAAGGTAGAAATTTTTTTGATTGAGTTGCAAGATTAAGACAATTTAAATTAATCATGTCTCATTAGCCTAAAGACTTTTTGGACTCTCATTTAAAGATGTATCACAGCCAAAAATTATAGTTGCATAGTACTATCAAATAAGTTGATTTTTTTTTTTTAGTATCGAAGAAACTAGATTCGAATTCGGATCTATCATCGGTTATACACATACTTATCACTAGACTATATTATATCTTATTGTGCAAATAATTTCATCATTAAACAGTATAAATTATACTATAAATAATGATATATAGCTAATAAAATGCATTTCAAATGATTAATTAATGGACCAACATGACTCTCCATAATTCTGCTCTATATATCTCACTGCTTTTTTTTTTTTTTTTTTAGAAAACTAAGATTCGAATGTCGGAATCTTAATCATCGGTTATACACCATACTTACAACTAGACTATATTATATCTTTATTGTGCCAAATAATTTCATCATTAACAGTTATAAATTATACTATAAATAATGATATATAAGCTTAAATAAAAATGCTTTCAAATGATTAAGTAATGACCAACATGAACTCGCCATAATTCTGCTCTATATACTCACTGCTTTTTTTTTTTTTTTTTGACATTCTCACTGCTGTTTTTTTTTTTTTTTTTTGACATTCTCACTGCTCTTTAATTAGTTTTGTCTTTTTATACCAAACCTTAACTTCATAACTTGAACAATTTTAAAATATTTAATGCTATTCGACTTGGGTCTAAATTTTAGATATATTAAGTTTTTTCTGCACACAGTTAATTAATAAAGAAATTAATATTATTGTTCATCCAATTGTATTGGTGTTAATTGTATTATAAAGAAATATAGGCACTTTTAGAAATCACCTAAAAAAAAAAAAAATTCAAAATACAAGGGAGAAAAAGTCTCATTAGTTTGTACTTTCTGAAAAGTGTGGATATGTAGAAAATTACAGAGATAAAGAAAGAAAGTGAAAACTTTACTATCAGCTTACATCTGAACTTCTTTCACATATATATGTCAATATTAATTAGAGGAAAATAGAACAAAAATGTATAATCCCAGTATAGAGTATAAAACCCATTGAATGTGCATTTCTCAAGAACAACAACAGAGTATAGAATTAGAAACCAAGAAACAAAAAATGAAATGAGAGAACATATAATTGAAATTAACGTTGTTTTCGTATTAATTAATACTATCCGATATGTGTATACAAATATATAATTCCACAACAAAATTTGCTTAATCCCGCAAAAGCTATTTACACTCCACCAAGAAAATTAGAAATAAGGAAAGAAAAATCCTCTAAAATCTCACTTCCATGCCTATATATAGATAGAGCTCGTAAAGAGGATGTTTGTAGTAGAAATTAAATAAACAAATATATATTAGAGAGAGGGTTAGAGCTTAATTAGCTAGTCATGCCAACAGAGAAGCATAACTACACATCTCCTGATGATATAAAGCCTTGCCCTTTGCTCTCTGAGCACAGCTCCAACTCCTTTGGTAGAAGAAAGCCTTCTCTTTGAGCTTCCATTACTGTTGAACTTCATCTTGTTTATCTTGCTCTGAGAGAGAGAGGGAGGGAGGTTTTAGTAGTAATGAAGTGATTTAGGTTTTAATGAGAAATGAAAATGGAAGAGAAGAAGAGAAGGGTATTATATATAGGAGGAGGAGTGTGGTCCAACCTCACGTTGGTCTAGTAAAGAGCCAACGATGGGGCATGAAAGGCCGTGCAGTGTCCCTTTACCCACCAGACTGGGGTACCCCAAAACTGGGCCCCACTTCCCCACTTGGGTACCATACCCTTCGCTTAATTAACCAATATATTATTATTTATTCATTCTTACTGCTGCTGCTACTACTACTATATGTTTATGTTATGTGTACATGCATGCCTTAATTTTTTGTTTTTTTGCAATTATATAGGAAAATGTTTATTAGAAATGATTTTTACTTTAATGTTGAATAAGTTTTTATCATATATATTTTTCTGTTTACGTAAATTGATCAAATAAATTTATATTTTATTTTCTTAGTAATGACATCTGATAGGAGTAATTTTAAAAAATCACAAGGGTAATATTTTTTATTAATTTCTAATTATGATATTGTTAACTTATTTTTAACTAGATTAAATAGATGACATATATTTTAATAATTAAATAACGAAGGTAATAAGAAAAATAAAAACTTTGTGTTTGTTGGTTAAGTTAAGATTGTGACAGTAATTATCTCATGTCAACGGTTTAAATTATAATTTATGATTTATAATTTATTCAATTTCTTTTAACATAATAATAATAAAAGAAAAAGAAAGCAGAAATTATTTTTAATATTATCATATAATTAAAGAGAAATACAAAGAAGCAAAAGTAGCTAACCGTTCTTGCTTACTTGCATTTGTCATATTCAATATCTGAACTCAAGAAGGCGTCACCCACCAGCAAAAACAATGGGTCGGCCATTACTTCAATAAGCTGACAAATTTCTGTAAATAGATATATATATGTAAGAGGCAAATAACTTTTTCTTTATTAATTATTTCAATTTGAAGAAGATGATGTGAATTGTGATTAGATAATATGGTTGATGATGAATCTTCCATTTCCTTTTTTTCTTTTAAATTGCTTTAATTTGTTTGATCTTTTTTTTTTTTTTTTTTTTTGATTATGAATATCCATTTCCTTTTTTCTTTTAAAATGCTTTAAAATTTGTTTTGATCTTTTTTTTTTTTTTTTTTTTTTTTTTTTTTTAATTGTTGAATCCACCTAAACATGCAATAGGAGAGAGAAGAGGTCGGTTGAATCCTACGTAACAATGCATATTAACTAACTTTAATTAATTACTAATCATTTTTTGTTATTATTATTATTATTATGAGTTCATCAGCTTAATTATTTACTCATAATTTTGACTTCCTTCTATTTATTTAATTGGTAATACCATAATTAACCATATGTTGAGACGTGGCCACCAAAGCTACAATTAAGATTAGGAATGGTGGTGTCGCTGTCACATTTTTTATTTAATTATTATTATTATATATACATTTTCTTTCTGTTGGGTTCTATATATTATCCAAGCATTAATCTAGATATTTGTTGTTGAGTTTTAGATGACTCAGTTTTGTCATGGAAGACCTATCAGTTATAATGTTTTATTTTATGATTTTTTTTGTAAAAAAAAAAAAAAAAAAAAAAAAAAAAAAAAATAAGTGGCTTCTCGTCTTGACTAATAACTACAAAAAAAAAAAAAAAAAAAATAGTGGCTTCTCGGTCTTGACTATAACTACTTACTTAACCATTAGATTACATGTCTAATAGCAAAAATAAATAAATAAAATTATCCTTTTTACTTAAAATTAAATATGAAATAAAAAAAAACTTCATCGTTTATTGATAGAAAATAAATAATTTTTTTTCTGAAGTTATCAACGTGTGTTCAATCTTTAATTATATAATTATTTTATCAAAAAAATAAAGCTTCAAAGTATTTAACATAAGAAGAGATATAAGATAGAATTAATTAAATCTTTTTTTTTTAAAAAAAAAGGAAGAATTAATTAAAATCATGTTACAGTGTAAAGTTGGCAGCAGACCATATAAGAGAATAAGATCCCACCGACAGTGTAATTCTTGAGATTTGCTAGGTATTTGAATCCAATTCTCAACTGTCATTAAACCCATTTTAATTTTGCTTAATTATTAATTTTTTTGCTTAAATATTGATTTCTAAATTCTAAATATAGATAATGAATATTTGCATGAACATCATCAAGATATATATTCCATTTTGCAATACAAATAAATCAAAAAAAGACATGCAAAATCTCCAAAGGAATCTCCAATTTCCATGCTAAATTTCAACCTAGACAAGAAAAAAAAAAAATAAAAGAAAAAGGTAATAAAGATTCCTATTATATTTTTACATTATCAAGCTTGATAATTTTAATGTAAGAGCTCAAAACCCAACTTAGTGATAGATTAATTAATAATTTAATTTAAACTTAACCAAAAAGCAATGCACTGCTTGCTTGGTCTCGTGTTCCTCCCATTTCACTAAGGACACCAACTTCCATTAATTAACCCTTATTCCACTTAATAATTAATTAATATTCTAATCTCTCTTTGAACAATTTTAAGCTGTCAATATCGGTTTAGGAGCTCATATCAGTAAAACTTCTTTTTTTAAAAGCCTAGACAAGATTTTAAGATGCCATATGTAGTGCATAAGCATAACACATGACCTTCTTACATATATACATATATAGTTTGTTTTCTTTCTATGATACGGATCATAGTATTCCCATATGACTTTGATCTTTAAGATCTCGTAAAGGTCATTCGTCTCTTTAAACAATCGGATGGAGTGCTTTGCTCTTTTCATAGACCTGCTTAGCACAAATTCGAATTAGTCGGACCAATTAATTTATAAAATCGAATGGAGTGATCATAGTATTCAAGATACACCTTTAATTAATTTATAAAATCTAAAATAAATACATCGATTTAACACTTTTAATTTCATTAAATTTTTTTTAAATTATGTATACAAACATAAGAAATCTATATGTTCAAACCATAAAACATTTCTCATTATACAAAGTGGCAAACAAATATATGAATATACGATGGAGTGTTGGACACCCAAAGCTTTGGGAGTTTAACCAAAAAGAGAAACAATAACAATTACATTAGTCACTAATTAATGATTATATTAAAAGCTCTTTAATCAAAGTGTTAGAGATCTTGTTCCAAGTCTCATGCTTCCTGGGTCTGCTGTACTCTGTACACAGAGAATAAAAATAATAAAAAAATAACCAAGTAGCCATTGTTGTGCTCAACATTAAGGTCAGATTTGCACGTGAACTTCTCGTGATTTACAACTGCTTTGCTTGTGAGTTGCGACATACTTCTATCATCTTTATATATATATATATATATAAATGCATCTTTTATATATATATTATATATATATATATATAAGAATAAGCTTTCAAAACATAATTATATATAGAATAAGCTTTCAAAACATATAATATTTTATTAATTAACCCATCGCCCTATGTGTGTGTATATATATATATGTTCTCCAATCATTCAAATCAATTTAAATTAATTAATTCAATTTAAACACAAAATTTCGATTCGAAATTATTGGGGTGATTTGTACAACTTGATCAATTAGTAATACAGTTGTAATTTTACATGATTAGTTATGGGATTAATTTTGGTTAACAGGAAGCATAGAAGAACCTTATATATGATTATTAATTATAAGCTAATTACTGCATTAATTCTGTACGGACTTATATTAACATGTGATAATGACATTGCTTAGTTGACTAACTAGCCAGCATAGTTTTTGCTGTCTATATAGAATAGTAGATATTATGCATGTTACAAATTATATAAGATGACCCAATTGAAATTACCTGTCTTTTACTTCTTACAACAAAATAAATAATACATGTAGAAGAAAAAAAAAATGAAAGATATATGTTAAATCAAACATTGCATAACAACCTTCTGGCAGTTGAATCAATCAAAAAAAGATTATATCTTTAGTCAAACTTTACCTGTAAAATTAGGATATATAAATCGAAAAAAAGAAAAATATTGCATATAAAAGTAAGTTTGAAAATATAGTTTTATTAATATTTACATTTTTATTTTATTTATTCTTATAAGATGAAAAACATATATATTTATCACATGCATGCAAAATGTTTTCTAGCACATGAGAAATATTTTTTGGGGTTGGCAGGCAATATATGGTTGCAGGCAAATAAAATATATTATATATATATATTATATATATATAATAGTATATATATAATATATTGGAAGCAAATTATACTGTTTATGCATCTTAGGTTTAACGGAGACCATGCATAGGTAATATGCACTGCCTGCCAATGGAAATGTGGATGCAGTCTTAAATTAATTATTAAAATCTATAAAGATTTTTAAGACGGGCCCTTTTTCCTAGGGGAATGAAAGGAATTTAGTTAGTAAGGATGAAAAGTGGCTACTAAATGTGCAAAGCCTTAATAAAAAAATTTCTCCCCAACCTAAATTATGGAAAGGAGCCATGGACGTCTGTCTTTAAATTTTTTTAAACAAACAATTATATATGGATGCAAATTATACTGTTTATGCATCTTTAGGTTATAGGAGACATGCATAGGTAATATGCCTGCCTGCCAATGGAATGTGGATCAGTCTTATTATTATTAAATCTTAAAGATTTCTAGACGGGCTTTTCCTAGGGGAATGAAGGAATTTAGTTAGTAGGATGAAGTGCTACTAAATGCAAGCCTTAAATAAATAAAATTTCTCCCCAACCTAATTATGAAAGGAGCCATGAGTCTGTCTTTAAATTTTAAACAAACAATTTGTTTCTTCAAAATTATTAGTATGGAAGAAAAATATAGGAATTCTTAGATTCCCACAATTTTTTTATTTCTAAACTATGGTTTAATTAATTTTTTTCAAGAACTAGTTTGAAACAACCTTTCAGAAACAGCATAATTCTACCCCTTGGTTGGCTGCTGCTGGATTCAGGACCATCCTGGAAAGTTGCATACATAGATGATAGATCTAATGTAAAGTACATTATTGAGAAAGCCAAGAACTTAATTAATTAGTCAATTAGAATGCTTCATAATCACACCATTTTCACTTCATTCAAATTCCTTTCAATAAAATTATACCAGTAATGGAGGAGATTACACGTGCGGTCAAAAGATTCCAGGTATGTATGTTTCTGCAGGAGGTTCCAGCTACTCTCTCCCATCTAAAAACATCATTTCTATACAACCAAGACAGTCAATTATAATAATGGAGGCACAAAATTTACATGAAAGAGTAAAAAGATAGTATTTGTTATGTATGTACAATACTCATTCCTCTCTTGGGATCCACCTGCTCCACCATAGGCTCTTACTGCGTCTGCTAAGCTCGTCCATGCTCTCATTTAATGTTCTTACTATCTTTCTTTGAAGACGAAGTGCTGATGCAAGTGCATTCCTTTGAGCATTCGCCTTCTTTTTAGGCTCCTCCATTTCCTGATCAATAAGAATAGATAAATGGTCAAAGATTATGAAGTCAACAGCCAACATTCTGTGCACAGAAACAAAAAATTTAGTATGGTAGGTACAGACTCGAAGTTCTTGAAGTTGAGCTTCAGTGAAGCCACCCTCCTTTTCTGTTCCAGATTTTGCCATTAACTGGATAACCCAGTTTGCTGCTTCTCCATAGTCTTGTTGTGTTGCTCGAAAGAGTTGCAGCCTCAGGTTCTGCATGAAAGACAAAGCTAATAGTCCTTCTCTATCAAAGTAGGGATGAGCTAGGGCTGCTTTTGCGCTAATTCTTTGTCGTGCTTTGTATCGAACCATTGATGTTAGAAGCTCCCATCCTCTTCCTCCATCTAAATCCAATAACTCAAAGCCCCTTCGGAGGTCAGGGCCTGCCCGCGGCTCTACACTTTTCCTCCAGGCTACCAAGTCATAATCACACCTTTTTAACTGACGGTTGAACTGTATGAGGTTACTGTCTGTACGCAATCCTGGAAATGCCTGTTCAAAGAAAAGTGTTACAATTTTGAATAGGGCTAACACAACAAATTGTCATCGGTGATAAATATTGCTGCATTATAGGAATTAAGACACATCCAAGCCACAAGTATTGTGTTGTTTCAAGAGCTAATGTTTAAAGAACCTACTCTTGGCTTCATAACAAATTAGCTGGGCATTTAAATAATCCACAAATTTATCACACCAGCAGAGAATTTGAATTTTTTTTTTGGTTACTGAATTCTTACTTTGATTTTACTACTTCAGAAAATTGCAACATTTCTTGATACCAGCTCTGTTTTAAAAATGTCAATATCAGTTTATAATTGAGAAAAAGCCAACAATTAACCTAAATACAAAGACTGAACTGTTTTTTGTGACATACAAATTGATTTTCTTGTAGTATATCATTGCTTATGATAGTTCTGATACCATTATTTGCACCAGAGATCATATGCACTAGCATGCTAATTGCTTGGATCAGGTGGTACCATGATAGCCCTCAAAGCTCATAATCCCCCATTAATGGCATAGAAGAATCTGATTCAAGTGACCAAAATTTTAAATGCTTGAAATATTCATAGGAAATTGACTAAATTTAGTCAACAAGCATAGATATTCCATACCAAAAGGTATTCAGAACTTAAACATCATAGTAACTTCGGCAATTTTCTGCTACTTACCATTTGTAGGAAAATTAGCCCAGCACTGTAAATATCAAATCTATCGGGCAAATTCATCTGTTTAACAAAATAGCACAAAACACAAAAAACCAAAATTAATTCCCTTCAAATGATGCTAGATTTATAGATGAGCAAATTAGGAGAACTAGGACCTGCCATAGAACCGGGGAAAGTATAGTAGCCACTGGAGGAGATGGTGCTGATGGAGTCTGTGTGCTCATGATGTATTGCTCTGGTGCAGCATACCTGAAAAGGAGTAGACCAAAAAGGTTGATAATTCCATATGATTTTGGATGAAGAAACTTAAAATTATTAAAAATAACAGTAAAGAAAAAGAAAAAGAGCAATTAGATGCTGGAATCAACCTTTGGTTTTAGATATCAAACAATGAAGTAAAATCAGAGAGCCATTTTTCAATGTGTAGGAGTCCATCTATTAGGGTCTTGGTTATGATTAGTAGGGTGGCAAATCAATTAGCAATTTTTAAATTGGTCTTACTACTACCAGAATAAAAACTGAAAACTTTCTACAAGAAGTCCCTCATTCATTCTAAACACTTCAGTGCACCCAAAAGAAAAAAAATTTGTTCATACACTCAAAGAATTCAGCATGCTTAAAAATTTAGTAGAAGTGAAGCTTATCCATTATTTCATAATCTTAATTATCCATAGACCTGTAAGGGTTCTCATAGTTTTGCTGGAATAAATAGACCTCTAAGAGTTCTCATAGTCCCAAGACAACCCAGCAGGTTGCATTCTGTTTACTGAAGTGAAATAAATAGGGTGTTGGAATATCTCATGTGCAGTCAAAGCTACACGATTGAATAAATCTTCCTCTATATGTACATTGGATAAATATTCTTCTCAAATTTACCACCTCAGCAATACATCCTCCTTTCCTCGGTTATCCCTGCAATTTCTTAGTCCAGTGTTCTAAGGTTCCACATACAAGTGCTATCCAAACGCAATGAAATAGCTTTCACCACATTTTAAGTAACTCTGCCTCATCCCTAAACCCCATTCAAAGAAAGAGATAAAAAATGAAGGGGAAACTGATCATTCATGATTTGAAGACAGCACTTCAACAAGGATAACCAAATGACATTACTGAAATTGTGGTGCTGATAGGAGTTTATCAATCAGACTTCAACAAGTCACTAGTGCTCCATGATATAAAACAGAAGTACCTTGGGTCCAAAAGAAACTCATTTGGAATATAGTTGATTCCCACTCGCAGATCTGCAGCAGCTCCAAGATCAATGATCTTGAATGAACGAGAACCTGCACCAGTTTTGCATGCACATATAAATCAATTGACCAGGGATTGACTTGAGTTTGACCCTTTTGTATTCACCATGTACTTTTGTGTAATTACCTTCAGAAAAAATAATATTCTGCGGCTTAATATCTCTATGCACTATCCCTGTTGAGTGAAGACCGTCCAATGCAAATAAAAGCTGTCTCATAATAGTTTGAATGATTCTGTTTTCCCTTTCCAATCCCTTAGGCAAGTTCTGAACCTCTCTAAGAATCATTGCCTCTACCTGACAAATTGTGCAATCATCAATAAAGTTTGTAGAGTTAAATTGAACTCAGATAAACGATGAAGCACATAAGTAGAATCAACTTAAACGAGAAACCTTTCAAATCCAAAAATCATGTAAACGAAAAAAATTAAATGATACCAAACAATTCAGTTATGGCATCAAGACAGCGATGGGTTTGAAATTAGCTTGAAATTTTCAAACAAACAAAATGGCTATACTTGTCACAAACGGTTGATGTTTGCTTTGACAAGGGCAATTAATGAGTTTTTGAATAGAATAGTAAATGGTTGGCTTGGAGAAACAATTTGAATGCATAAAATAGCTTTCCAACAAGAAATGACACATACGATATGGAAAAGAAACTTAGATAAAGTACCAACATTATAGGGGAACTCTTTACTCTGCATCAAGTCAGAAAGTGTAGCCTCTCCTTCAAAACGCCATATGAGCCAATATTCACCCCCTTTCTTTGACGAACTCTGGAAGAAGTTCCATATGATAACAATTTAAGCCGCCACGTAAAAAATTAAAATGGAATGAACTATCATAGTTAACTTCTCTTTAGATAATGATACCCTTAAGTTATATGGTAGTACTAGTCATATAGATCAACACCTCAAGAAATCCATATATAAAATCTGCACAGCTGCTTGCACAAGCTCTTCGAACACGCTCGTTCATCCAAATCTCCACTGCCCCATATTCTGTAGCCTTTTTCAAGACCAAGTCACATTCCCTCTGCAAAATAAACAAACACACCCACAATCGACGCATCATATTCACTACCTCAATGTATAATTATACAATGAAATTGACACATACCCACTGTTTGTAAAATTTAACATCATGGGAAACCCACAAAAGAAAAATAAAAAAAGAAGTATTTTATTATATGATCATCCCTAGATGCACCGGAACTAATAGAGTTGCCATTAGTTTTTATTTACTAGAAATGATTGTTCATCTCATGGAAATTGTACACAATGTAATTGAAGGTATGAATTTCTCCTGTCAAAAGCTAAGGATAATTGAAGATGAGAACCAATAATAAGATTTATGGACCCAATGCAATCAATCTTAGGCATTTTCCTCATTCAAGATGATAAATGTACAAAAGATCCCTTATGAGGCACATCGACACAATTAATTCCATAATCTACTATCATAAACACGACCAACTCAACTAAGAGAGCCTCGCTGACAAGGAAATTGGAAGAAAGGGAAAAAAAACCAAAATTGGAAAGTACAAGTAAGACCTAAAAACAAAAAAGAAAAGCAAAAGTGATTAGATTCAGAATGAGGATTTCTATCGAACACTTTGTACCTTAGAAGAAGGCTTCTTAGCCGATGAAACTCTATAAACAACTCCAAAAGCTCCTTCACCCAACTTCTTCCCCAAAACAAAGTCATCCTGTCACCACAAGCAAAACCCAACAACCACATGTAACACAAAATCAGCAATCAAAAAACAAAAGGGGAAAAAAAGAGAGAAAAATCTCACAATTCTCTGACCTTTCTGAAAGAGGGTCTAAACAACCTCTCAACAAAAGCTAGAAAAAACATGTCAAAAAAGCCGGGAGCCACACCAGGAGTAGCCCAAAGGTAAGACAAAGCACCAAGAGCCAAAGCTACACCAGGAGCTGTAATTGTTAACCCATTAGATTTTGGCAAAGTACTTCTATATATAATATCACCACACTCCATTACTGTACATGGTAGGCCAACTCCAACACCCAAAAAAAAGTTATTAACAGCATCAAACAATTCTCCTCCTGATACAACAACTGAAACTGTTCTTGGGTTAGCAGTTATAGTTCTTGAAGAGGGTTTAAGGGTAAGTTTCTTTCCAAGAAATGGAGATAAGGGTTTTGGTTTGTTTGTATGGAGTTTGACAGGGACTACACCAATTCCACCTGATGAAACGGTGGCCATAACAGCACAGAAAAAATAAGTTGCAAGTTTTGAGGGGGAGAAGTATAAGATACTGGAAGTTTAGTTTCAGTTGAATCTTCTTCGAATTTAGACCACTAGCTAGTCTTTTGTTTTTCTTTCTTTTATTTTCTTCTAATTTTTCCCCTGATTTTTCTTTTGGGGGGCTGGTTCTATGGTGACAGTTATTACAGGTATGTTTTTTTGTGGAGGGCAGGGGCTCTAGCGGATTGAAGAGAATTGAGCACCACAAATGTCACGTAGATACTTGTGAAATTGTATTGGGCTAAAATTTTGTTTCTCTCATGGATGTTACCGAGCTGCCATAGCAATTCCATCACAGTGTCTCTAAAAGAGGTCCAACTTCCTTTTGGGTCTATCAGAGTTCCCTGAGCCCAGTTTTGCCCGGTTTGTTTTTGTAATTTTAGTTGCAGAATAATTATTTGATAAAATCCCTTTTTTTCACGAATTATTTGATAAAAAGTTAAATTTGAAGCAAATTTATAATATTAATTGATTCTAGGAGTTTCTTTTTTGGTTCATGGAGTTTGATTGTCGGGATCAAAAGACCTCAGATTAGAGCTGTATTAGCTTGCAACTATTTCGATGCTTAAGTCAATTATGTCGCACCCTCAATTTTTACTTTTACTAATCAAATATATTAATTTATAAAATTATATCTATTAAATAATTTTTATTTGCAAAATCACTTTATTAAACACTTCAACTTGTAAATTTAAATTAGTTAAATATTTATTAGATGGTTGAAAATATAATCCAAAACTTAGATCAGTAATGCGTCAAATCAATATTTTACATATAAAAATCTAAAACATTTAAAATTATTGTTGTAAATATGAAAATACATAAAATATTATTAAAATTTATAATTTTAGAGATATAATAACTTTTTTTCTCAAAATTGAGAATGTCACGTGATTAAAATAATATTTTTATATAAATGTGACTAGATGTAATAAGTCGGATGTGGATTTTTTATTGTAGATGTATTAGACTATTGATATCATCTTAATTGGGAGTTTGAATAAGTTTGATGTATAAACGGCTTAGGAAATATAACTCATCCTTTTTAGATGGGTGGTGCTGATATGATTTGGTTTAAATAGACAAAAGTTTTATTCCGCAACAGTTTTTTAAACAGCTTATATTAAACGTTAATTTTTATAGTATTCGATAATAGTATTTTATAAAAAATTATTCAAATAGCTAAATACTATTAAAGTAGTTAATAGTTAACAAAACAAATAATTTTACCGAATAAATTCGAAATATTGGACAACACATCACGGCAGACATTGGACTGAACTGGTGTGTTTTTATTTTCAGTTACATTAATCTATATTGCACAGAAATTCTCTTTGGCCGCAGTTTTTGCAACTTTTGGAAATTTCTTAGAAATGTTTCCTACATGAAAATATTGGAAAACTTCTCAGAAATATTTAAGAGCCGTTTCCATAAATTGAGTAGTATAGAAATATGTTTCTGCTCTTTGAAAGATATTTTTCATAAACTAAAAATTTTTGAAACTCATTTTTATAAAATACATAAATAAATAGAAATTTACAAAACATATATTTTTCATCCTTCGTGAAACTTGTAAACGAATTTTTTTCTTTGATTAAATGTTAATTAGACTTGATTTATTATTGAATATATTTAATGGATTGTAATAATTTTGTATATTTATAAATATAACTCCGTACTTTATCATCAGATGTCCCCGAAGGGACTACAACCTTGTACTTTTACATGTTTCACATTTTCATTTTCTAGATTTTGAAAATACCATTTTCCCATATCAGTTTTCACATTTCCGTGGTTCCGTTTCCATGCAAAGTAGATATTAGTTATATAAAATAAATATTTTGAAAACTTCATAAAATATAAATTATCTTAATTTTGTTATAATTCATTTTGTGAGAGTTACAAGGAGGAAAATGAATATATATTTTTTTATTAGATTCCTTGAAACAAAAGGTAGTGTTAAAGAGTAGTAGATAAAGAGAGTGAGAGAAGTCACATGTGTATGGAAGCATTATAAAGTGGGGCTAAAATGTCCTTTTCCGACTATTCCCTAATAATGTAAAAAGCAAGGACATTCGTATTGCCACTAGAATTGCATCTACTTTTAACTCCTTTGTATTATTGTTGAAATTGATCAATTTCCATTTCACAACAATTTTGAAATTATATTTTAACTTAAATGGCTAAGGTGAAGTACCCATAATCATTGTTATCCCCTCAAACATTCTTTAGATTGTAATAGTAATTTTTACCCTTTATTTATGAGTTCGGGTACCCTTAATGAATTCAATTTATACCCTTTAAAGTTTGAAATTGTAATTGTGTTTGTAATATATTTGTTCTGTATGATGCTTTATCCCTTCCAAAATATAAATCGTTATTAAGTGATTATTTTATCTCAAAATATAAGTTATTTTAAATATTTTCAAAAGTAATAATTGATATTTTTCTAATATTACCCATACAGTAATTATTTTCACAAATTACTCTTAATTTTAAGATAATATAAGATAATTTAATCGAATTATTCTCCTACCTCTATTCCTAAATACTTATCTTGCTACTTCTATTTCTAAATACTTCTCACATTTGGAATTTCACATCCCTCAAAAAAATATTAAAGTTACAATAAATTATATTAATCATATATACAAAGAGTAAACATAAAAAAAAATTTATATTAATCCAAGTATTTTAGAACGTGTTAATATTTTTTCAAATGTAATAAGTATTTAGAAATTATGGCAGTAGTTTTATTAGAATGTAAAAGAATTAATTATTTATTTAATCTAAGTGAAAAACCAATAAAGCTAAAAGAAAGTCATTCTTAGCATAAGTTGGTACAATATATTAAATCAATTTCCATAAAGAAAGTTAAAGGTATGAGCCAAAAGATTTGGGAAACATTGGTTCAACCACCATAGACATTTACAAGATTATACACATCACCAAAAAGGCGAAACAGAACTAAATTCCAACAATTTGTCTAAATCAAACAACTTAGGATTCTAAGCCATAATAATAACAAACCTTAACATCTATAATTAATCAAACTCACAAAGAACAAGAACAACATTAATCAATCAAGCAATGTAGTTAAGTGGAAACAAAAAACTTATTTGTAATATTTTTTTTTCTTTTTCACTTTCCACTCTTTATATGAAAAAGGAAACCTAATTGAAACCGATTTCCATTATCCATCCAATTACGACCTTATTTTTCTTTTTCTTTTTCTTTTTTGTGCGTGTGAAGAATTTTTACCACGCAACCAATCATATCATTACGTACCTTTAACCTGCTCCCTTATGTCCTTTTCCTCCACCCTGTTTTTAGTAAATCCACTCTTTTTTTTACTTGTCATCACCGCCGTTAATTCCGCAATCCTCCCCGTCGACTGCCGAGACGGACTCAATTGGCCCAATCTTGCCACCTGCCTATTTGTCATTAAATCAAGAAAATACACACCCATTTTCAAGCTTCTTCTTCTTCAGCTGTCAGAGAACAGTAAAGGATGGCGGTACAGATCATAAGGAACCCATAGTGAATCCAATGGACACGGCCGTTTAGAATCAATTCGAAGCCAAGGCTTACCCTTTCCACTCCAATGAAGCAAACTAGCCGGACCGGGATGCAAATCTCTACACAATCCTTGAAGATTATCGCCACCGAGTCCATGTTGGTTCCATCTATGCTCCACTCCTTCAACATTACCAGCAAAAACAAGCAAAAACGGAGGCAAAGAACCCAATTCATAAATTCTATACTTCTTTTGTATTCTCATCCAGTACTCTAATTTCTCTCTATATCTCCCTTCTCTCCATTTCAACAGGTCTATCACCATTACTCCTGTGTTAAAATAGCAAGGCTTTCTTCCTTTAAACGACGCCGCATAGACCTGGTTCGACCAGAATCTCGAATTGAAGTAATTTGTGAAGTTAGCGTGACAATACTCGGGTGCACCGAGAACGTGTGCACGTAAATTGATATTCCACAGTTTAGCCACGTCATCAACCACAATAAGATCAGAATCGAGGTAGATAATCCTCCGTACACTAGCGGGTAAGAGATCGGCGAGATAAAATCTTGCGTAGTTCAATGGTTGATCCAGAGCTCTTCGTACGGAGGAAGAAATCTTTCCTTTCACTAAATTGGAGTCGAAGTGATAGAGATGAAAGCTGAGATAAGGGAAAGTAATGGTGATTGTACGGCGGAGCTCGGCGCGACGGTGAGTGGCGATGAAGTGGAAAACGATGTTCTCCGGGCAAGAAGCGTGTTGTAGAACGGATAATACGCCGGCAACGGAGCCACGAAGGTAACTGGAGTCAAGAGTCATGGCAATGTGGATAATCGAAGAAGGATCATGATCCGAGTGTCCGTTGACGATGGAGGACCATGTGGTTTTAGGACATTCCCGGCCGTTTCGAAACGCCGGAGCTTCTCTAAAAGACGGGAGGCGGTCAAACGGCAGCGCATTTGACAAATTGGTGAGAAATAATAAAATGGTAAAGAAGAGAGGCCGGAGATTTGGAGGCATGGCTCTACTCTGTGTTGTGGTGGAGGGGCGGGCGCTGTACAGAGGATGAAATGAAGGATTTGGTTTTGAGGATTTAGCTATTATTTTAGGAGAGAGAATGTGAGCCAGGTTGGCAAAGACGCGTCATGTTGTTTGATCGAGGAGAGGAAATGGGGGCCTGAGATGAGATCGTGTGGTGGTGATTGCACCGTATATGGAGATGGAAAATACAATTCAAAAAGCAGAATGTTTTCTTGAAAAATGAAAATGGAATTATCTTATTGGACGTGATTGTCACGTGCGGTATAACTGTTGCCAATATAGCTGTTTTTGGACATTTTTGAGAGGAAAAATTATGACTTGTATTTGCATTTTCCAATCATATGTATCATTGTTTTTACATTTTTAGAAATACATAACTTAGTGTTTTATTATTCCATTTCATTCTATTGTTATATGGTTTTCTCAATTTGTTATACTATTTGGTCAAAAAAATTATCATTTGATTCTTGTATTTTATAAAAATTAATTAATATATGTTTACCAATTATTTTATTCTATATATTTTGTTAAAATTAATTAATTTCTCTTTATATTTAATAAAAAAAGTATAAAAATTGATAAAATGATATAAGAGTTTATTAGAGATAAAAAAAATAGAGAAAATTTTATATATCTAAAAGTAAAATGATAAAATTATGCATTTTGATGAAATATAAAAATAAAATAGTATTAGTAATTTTTCCATTTAGAAATGGTGAAAATAATGAGGACAAACATATTGTGGAGTCTTGAATTTTGCAAGTTTTTGAATTATTAGGTTCTAAAATTTTATTTGTTGGAGTTCTACCTTTTATTTCTAAAATTATAATCTAAAATTTTAATAATGAGATTGTCAATATTATCTTTGTGAAATTTAAGATATTCTAAAATAATTTTAGTTTTAACCAATTAAAAAATTTTAACCTAAAAAAAATATATAATATTCCTATAATTTGATTGGATGTTTTTTTTAATTTTTCTAATAGATAAATAAATATAGATAATTAAGTGATTTTAAATTTTTAAATTTTTACTATTATTTTCTTATTGTGTCTTATATCTTATTTCATTATATTATTATGGAAATTATTAATAATAATTTAATAGTTTTTAATAATTTATTATTATTTATAATTTAGCTTCAATATTATTATTTTAAATAATATATGTAAATGACGCATTTGAAAATTTTTATTTTTTTTAATTTATTTTTAAATAAGTATATCTAGATAATTCATATTTGATTTAAAAAGGATATGATTAAATTTTTCTAATTATAAATTACACTCTTGGTTAGTCAAAAAATAAAATAAAAATTATAATGTTTAAACATATTCCAATTTAATTAGTTATATTGATATTTTATATAATTCAAATTCTATTTTTACTAAAGAATACAATTTTATTAATAATTTTTTAAAATGTTTTCATGATTTTGATTGGCTAAAAAATAAAATAAAAAATTATTATTTATAAATATTTAATTTGATTTATTAGATTGTTTTCTTATTCTATTATTAACGTATATTTGGGCTAAAAATAAAATAAAAAATTATTATTTATAAATATTTAATGATTTATTAAGATTGTTTCTTATTCTATTATAAACGTTATATTCATTTACTACAAGAAATTACAGTAAAAGCTATTAACAAAACATGTAAATTAATTATAAATGTATAATTAAAGATATATGATGATTTTTATTAAATTAATTTAGTTTTTCCTTAACAAATAAACGGAAAGCAACTAATGTATAATAAAAACTGTATAAATCAGTATGTTAATATAAAATCAAAAAAATATTTATATATAATATAAAATTTGATTTATTAGATTGTTTTCTTATTCTATTATTAACGTATATTCATTTACTACAAGAAATTACAGTAAAAGCTATTAACAAAACATGTAAATTAATTATAAAATGTATAATTAAAGATATATGATGATTTTTATAAATTAATTTAGTTTTTCCTTAACAAATAAAACGAAAGCAACTAATGTATAATAAAAACTGTATAAATCAGTATGTTAATATAAAATCAAAAAAATATTTATAGTATATATAAAATGTAATATAATTTAATATTCAATCTAAATAAGAATTTATACTTCAATATTATATAAATAAAAAATTAAACAAATATAAAGAATGAACACATAACAAGCATAGTCAACTTGTAACGCATGTTATAAAGAAAACTAGCGATATTAAAAATTGATTTAGGCATGTTGGACAATATTAGGTGTTTTATAATTATTAACTGTTAGGTATTTTATTATAGTAACTGTTAGTTATTTTATTAGTGATTAGCTGTTAGCTATTAGCTTTTACATGATAAAAACATTCAAATTTTACCATATTAAATTTAACGATTAAATTTTTGAACTTTACGAATTTTAACTATTAAATCCCTAATATTTATTTTATACACACTGACTCCTCAAATTATTATATCTAATGATACCGAAGACTAACTTGAGTATTTCAATTTATTGTCAAAATTGGCACATTAGATTATAATATATTTTATTTATCCACAAATATAAATTATTTAAAGTTTTTGTACGGTAATTAATCAATTAATTACCCTAAATTCTCATAAAAAATTTATCAATTTGACTAAATTATCATTTAGCTCACATTATTAGTAATTAATATGTTTAATGTATATAAGAATAAAATTGAAAAAATTTTCATTAATTACTTTTTAATATTCTCAAAACAGACTTATATTCATCAACAGCTCCAACTTATATTTATCAACAACTCCAATTTCATTAATTACAGTTAGGTATTCTATTGGCGTTTCTCTTTCTCGTGCACCATGCGTTATGGGAGACAGCTTCAACTTATATGGGGGTTAGTAATGGACCCAGGACCAACTCGCATCGACCCTAGCTTGACCGGGTGGAGAATAGGTAGCTATATTTTGTGGATGGGTCAGTTGCTCTGCTCAGGACCTTGTGGACTAGGGGCTACTGGTTGAGGATGAGGAGGGCCGTTTCATACGGGGCTAGTCTAGGTACTACGAAGGCCTCAATGATCCCTAGATTTCTGAATCACTGGTCATGAGAGGGTGTCTGAGATTTGCACAAGATAATCCTCCTTCGCAGAGTATTCTTTTTTCAGAGTCCCAGGTTTTGGTTTATGACTTGAACTTTAACGTATTGGATATCTCTTTTTTTGGTCTGATTGTTGAAAATTGTAAACATTTCTTTAGATGACAAGTTGATATTAGGATCACGTGGATTCGAAAACAAGCTAATATATATGCTCATTATCTCGTGTGAGTGTCCATATCCATTCACTATGCTCGTTTTCATACGTGGCATGTAATTAATCTCAGGTTGTATGTCTTGAGTTTTATGCTATGCCTTGATGAAGTTGGTACTATCTTTCAAAAAGAAGTTTCATACTACCTTTCAGATAGCCTCTTTCTGAATTTAACAATATTATAAAATCAAGAAAATTGGACAATATTACTATCACTCATTCTAAGTTATCCCCTTCACATTCTTTCTACTTTCTGACTAATGATCAAAAGGGTTTAATTAACACATGCTTTAGCCTGAAATTATGGCACATGAAATGGTGTGCTACAAATTAGATAATGTATATCCTTTTGGGTTGTTTTGACCTTGTACAGGGGTATAATGGTCATTCACAACACACATCTACCTTAGAGAACTTTCTATTTCATTATATTTATGTGGTTCAAAGTCAGTATCTGTCTTTGATGTTTCATAATTAATTAGTGGCAGTATTAATTGTTAGTACCTGTCACCTGTGGTGAGGATGAGGCTTATAGGAAAAGATGGATAGAATAGAAAATGTCATAATAAGGCAAACTCTTAGAGAGGGCATTCCTGTCAAAATGACAAGGACAGGTCACTCTTGATTAGAGTATTCTTTAACAATAAGTTTTAACAATAAACTCTCTATTATATATGTTAGATTTGTTTCAACTTTTTCTAGCTAATTAGTCATAGCAAGAAAGAAAGAAAGAAAGAAAGAAAGAAAGAAAAGGATGATGCTACGTAGAATAGAATAAAAAAAATGTTAATGGATAATATTTAAATCTTGATAATATTTAAATATTGATACTCTGTTCGTCCCAAAAAAATTATTCATTTTTTATTGTTTACATATATTAAGAAATATAATTAAATGATAATTTTATTCATATAATTTTTTTATTATGCCAATCTAAAATAACACATGAGTATTGAAATAATAACTAATAATTAACGAGGGTTATTGAAAATAAGATAATTTAATAATGGTATAGTATAAAATTCAAGGATCAATTATAATGTAAAAAAGAAAAATAAATTATCTTTTTGAGACAAAGTGAGTAATAAAAAATAGATTTCTTTCTTTTTAAATCTTGTGTCAATGGATAATATTTAATTATTTATTTGTTGGATATTTTTTATAAAAAATATATATTTTTAAAAATTAATTAGTAATTAATATTTATATTAAATGTAAAAATTAATTTTTAAAATATAATTTAGTCAAATTAATAAATTATTTATTAATATAATTTAGGAGACTTATTATTTTTTAATAACCATATAACAATTTTAAATGATTTATATTTATATAAAAAAAATAATATTTAGCTAATAAAAGTTAAATTAGGAATTCCTTTTTTCCTCAATGTTTAGTTACTTCCATGCAAATTTGTAAAACATTTTATCAAATTTGAATTATTAAAAGCACTTGAATAATTTCTTTTTATTTTAATAATGTATAATTGGGTCACATCCCTAACTATTTTAATATGATTTTTTTTTTTTTGCCGACAAATAAATTTAGTATTTAGTATTAATTAATGACTAGTTACTTTTTTTAAAGATTAATGAATTGTTAATTGTATTGGTTGGACTAAATTATTTTTATATTATCAGTTTGACCTCCTATCCGTGTGTCTTTTTATGTGTGATTTGAGTTATTCTTTGTGAGAAACCTACTCAATTAATAATACAAACAAAAAAAAGTTTAACTTTTGCATGTCACTGTCACGGTCACGGTCACGGGTCATGAGAGCTTAATAGCTTATTATTAAAATGTAAGACCTACCTCAATTACGGACTTCAATTAATTTCATCAGTATATTAGTAGTAATGTTAAAATCGTCTTTAAAATTAAAAATATTAAAAATTTAAATATCTATTGAATCCAAATTAAAGTGCATGGATGCCACGTCTATATAGAAACGGAAGATTCCATAGCAATAATAAATCACAATCCGGTAGACATTTTTTTCTTTTAAAAAAACAAAGGGGTGACGTGGACTCAGCTGTGAAGCATTTTTTTCGAATAGTCCCCACTTTCCATCAGTTTCAGTGTCAGCCCAACTCCCAACTTGCAATTTGCAAATGCTCTCTTTTCTCTCTTCCCTTTCAATAGTTTAACTATAAGCCAACATTTTTTAACTGACTTTTAACATTTTAATTGATCAAATAATAAAGATTTTAAATTAATTTTTAAAAATTAAAATAATATCTTTTTATTAAAAATTAATCTATATAATATTTAATTTTTAATTATTCAAATAATTATTACGAATATTTTGACAGACTTTAAATTTCACGGCTCCAAGAGAGATGGATGTTATAGGCTTCTGTTTATGCGTTCATTGTGTTATCATTTTTAACTTTTCAACATGAATTGAAAGAGAGCTGTGTGAATTTTATCTATGAGAATAATTCATATATAATCATAGATATAATGAGTCTTTACTACTGTATAATTAAGAGGATATATTCATTTCAATTTCTTAAATTTTATAATTTTTATTTTAATAGTAGTATTTTATATTGAACCATTTCTGTATTTTTATTTAATTTTAATATTTGTATAGTTCTTGATTTTTCATTTTAAAAAATAAAAATAAAAATCAAAAGTCCAAGTTTACCCACTAAAAGGAAAGAAACGAAATTTCTTCCATGGCCTTCTCCACTACACACTCGCATTGAATCCCATGCCCCGCTAATCTCGCCTCCATCATCATTATTACTTACTTACTCATAACTACAAAAGTCACATTCAGCTCCATGTCCAAACAACATTTTTAGCTAAAGCCCCCACACTATGTCTCTCTTCTTCTTCTTCTTCTTCTTCTTCGTCTCCCTCTTCTTCTACTCTGCATTTTCCTTCCCTTATGGTACTCTCTCTCTCTCTCCCCCCCTTTCTTTCTTGCACTAACTAATTTAACTAACCTTTTAACTGTCTTCCACTAACTTCATTTTTTTCTTTAATTGCAGATATTTCTTACTACATTGATTGCGGTGGCTCAACCAACACCACTGACCCTTTCAATACTACCTGGCTCTCCGACCGCTTCTTCACCGGTGGCTCCTCCTCCGTAGTCTCTGAGCCTCTTCACTTCCGCTTTCCTCAAGAGAAGACTCTTCGCTTCTTTCCGCTTTCCTCCGGTAAGAAGAATTGCTACATTCTTCCTCTCCCTAACGGCCGTTACTACATCCGTACATTCACTGTTTATGATAACTATGACGGTAAGTCGCATTCTCCAAGTTTCGATGCCTCCGTCGAAGGCACTCTCGTCTTCTCCTGGCGCTCTCCTTGGCCGGAGAATCTAGCTCGTGACGGCGCTTACTCCGATCTTTTTTCGTATGTCAAAGATGGTGAGGTAGACATTTGTTTTTACAGCATTGCCACTGATCCTCCTGTGATTGGTTCTCTTGAAATCCGACAAATCGATCCGCAGTCGTATGATTCTGCTTCAATCGGCGATAATTTTATCCTCGTTAACTACGGGCGTTTATCTTGCGGCTCCGTTCAGTGGGGGCCAGGGTTTAGTAATGATACCGATGACTTCGGTAGGTCCTGGCAGTCGGATTACGAATTCCGATCTCAAAGCAGTCCAAACACTGTGCACTCTGTTTCCACCCGAGAAAAAATATCTGGCACCGATCAACTTCCGAATTACTTCCCAATGAAGCTTTATCAGACGGCGGCTACGGTAAACGGAGTTTTGGAGTACGAATTTACCGTGGATGCGAAAATGGATTACTTGTTGTGGTTTCACTTCGCTGAGATTGATTCCACAGTAACTAAGAAGGGGCAGAGAGTGTTTGACTTGACGTTGAATGGTAAAAACGTGAGTAGAGTTGACATTTATGCGCAGGTTGGGAGCTTTGCAGCATATAGTCTACCATACACTGTGCACAATCTGAGCAGTACTGCATTGATTGTGAAGCTATTGCCGGTTAAGGGGGCGCCATTGATTAGTGGAATAGAAAATTATGCTCTGGTTCCTAACGATATCTCCACCGCTCCTGAGCAAGGTAAGCAAAACTTGAATTTCTAAAGCTTTATTTGTTTGCAGAAAATGTATGGAAAGGAAAATAATGAAATACCCATTCCAATTTTTGGTATCTTGTGCTCTATTACTTCTGATTTGAAAAACAGAAATGATATTCATTTCCTGACTGAGAAATGAAGAAGACGTAGTATTTAAATAATTTTGTTTACGAATGAGGTTAGTCGTTTCCAAATTGAGGTGTATGTACTAATTAAGACTTCATATCGTAGTTGCTGCCATGAGAGCATTGAAAGAATCACTTCGTATTCCTGATAGAATGGGTTGGAATGGCGATCCTTGTGCTCCTACGAACTGGGATGCTTGGGAAGGAGTTACCTGCCATTCAAACAAAGATGGAAGTGCCCTTGTTGTATCTCAAATGTAAGCACTGCGTTCCTTTCTTTTGTATACAATTAAGAAATGTTGTTTTTGTATTTCTAAATGTATTCTATTTTAGAAGAATTCTGTTGTGCCATGATTCATCACAAATATATATTTTTCTCATATTTTTCTGTGGGCAATTTCTTTATTGCTTCTGCGAGTAGTTTTGAATTTTTCTTTGCCAAAGGAGAATTTTGAAACCATTAAATTCTTATTTTTGTTTTCAGAGATCTCGGAAGCCAAGGCTTGAAAGGATATATAAGTGATCAGATTAGTCTTTTATCAAACTTGGTAAGCCTGTAAGTATCAGCTTCCATTTCTTTTCATGCATTGTAGACATGTCATTTTTTTTATGGCGTACAGAGTGTGTCTTCAACATTGCAGTTAGGTGCACAGTATGTCAATTCCAGCAAGTTCTGTCTCAAGGCATACATGACATTTAATTGCTGACAAGCACATCACCACATGGGCTTTCAACTTCTTTTGGCATTTGTTCTCCTTGGACCCCCAACCAAAACTACATTCCTTTTGCCATTGCAAACTAATTCCAATACTAATAAAACAAATACAATCATAATTGCGGGACTTCTCTCTTGGGACCTTGATTTTATATTGCAGACGCAAAAAGTTCATGGTTTATCACCCAAATTATAAATTTACGTATTCTTCCCTCTGTTGATTTCCTGCTATTTATAGCACCATTGATAATATCTACATTCAAAAATATGGTTAGACCTGTATAGTTCATGTGTTCCATTATTTATAATCATTTGTAAATTTCTGCATATTGGTACCTCGTGACTGCTTTGTATTGATATAAGTCCAAAATTTGTGCAACTTGAAGCACGCAGGCTGTTCTTGAAACTGCCTTTACTTTTTTTAGAAGTTTCTTTTGCTTATATTGTTCTCTTATAGGTTAATTTGACCATTCAAATCAAATTTTTCTTTTAAATTTGCAGGAATTTAAGTTCTAACTCTTTGGGAGGAGCACTTCCAGCTGGACTAGGTCATAAATCACTTGTAAAGCTGTAAGCATTATGGAATTAGTAAACTATGTCAATTACCTGGCCATGATTCTAATTGCTTATATGCATTATATATTCTGCCCCATAATGTGCTAAAAAGATTTTTTGTTTCTCTGGACACTGCTTGTTTGTGTAATTCTTTTACTTGGTCATATTAATAGTAGGGATAAAACTAGAGGGATATGCATTGTTATTTGCACAACATATGGGATGTGTGCTTGCATATTTGTGTCTATAAGTTGGCAGACATAGAGATGGGAGGGCAGAGGTTGGTGGGAGGGGATTGCATCACTACTTCTTCCACTCTTTTCTTCATTTTTGTGGGGGCTTGGCATAAGTCTCCATATAAATTCCAACTTTCCATCAGCAGTCTATTTTTTAATGTTGAAGAGCTATCTTTCTGTTTTGTTAAATAATCCCCTCAAATTCACCTATGGAGTAGCTTTAATCTGATTTTAATAAATATGCTGTCTCATCAATTTTAAGTTCAAAATTCAAATGTAATATCTTATCTGCCTTTGGTTTTATGATCTTTAAATGCTTATGTTGTTACTCCACAATGTTACAACTTATCATGTTTTTTGTACACTGTAGGGACTTATCAAACAATCAGTTCTCTGGACCTATTCCAGAAAGTCTAACATATTCAAGTCTGCAGCTTGTGTAAGTAGTTTGTCTGGATGAATTATGAACCTGGCATTTAAATTGTTACACGTATATGAAATATCTTAAAATATGATTGGTCATCCTTGATGTCTGGAAGAAGTTGTGCTAATCCGGTTCTAGTTTTTGTGCTTGCGCCCATAATTTTAGCATATCATTGTGCAGAGAGATTTTTTCGTTTAGTTGTCTATGGATGTTGTATAGTTTAGATCCTTGTATATTTGGCATCCTCTCATAGTACAATGTCTACTTTGCCATTTGTTGATATGAGAGTTCCACTGGATACAAAAGAACAAGGCCAGAAAAATATTCAATTTCTTCATTCTTATTCCTTGCACATACAATGACATAGAATGAAGGGAAAGCAAATGAGCAATAAGGGAGGCCTTTATCTCTCTATTCCTGGATTTGATTTGCAGGTACTAGAAAATATTGATGGAATGAGTCTCCTTTTCCATCTCATTGCCTCATTACTGATAATCTGTTGGAGGCATAGCACTTCCACCTACCGAATTTGATGCTATTCGGATGATAGTTTTTACAGCACCTCATGATGTTGAGCCACGTGTTCATGTGACTTGTAGTTCTAGCATGCCAATACCATCTTTCCTGAAATATAGTTTCATATGGTTGGTCCATGCAGGACACGTTTTAGCAAAGAGCCAATGGGCTATAATTGCATGGTCTGGGTTGCTACAAAGATTTAAATAACAACCAGAGATCCTTTCAAAAAAAAAAAAAAAACAACCAGAGATATATGAGTGTACTGAAATGTGTATCCTTCTATTGTTGAAGGAAGAAAAGAACAAAATATCTAATTATTGAATCCCCCCCATTCAAACCATATCTTCCTTCCACAATAGAGGAATATGAACTGCTGCATTTGCTTGCTAAACCATGATAAACTTGCTTTTTTTCCCAAATAAAGAAGAAATTTACATTTACATTTATTCAATAAATTGATTGAAGACATACCAAGGGTGCATTGCCCAAGTACACCAGATGCATACATTGATTGCCTAATTGGGTTCCACAATGCCTTCTGGGCTTCTGTAGCTGTTTTTATTGGCTTTTCACAGAAATATCCGATCTTTTTTCAGGTTATTGAATAATAACTTATTGGAAGGGCGAGTCCAAGAAGAGCTTTACTCAATTGGCGTGCATGGTGGAGCCATTGAGTACGTCCTATCTTCCAGTTTTCATCATTCTTGTTTATTTTTTTATTTTTTTTGGCAAGGAAATCCTTGGATATATTCCTTCCTATCCATTGTGCATGATAACCTCTATTTCTGTTTTGTACTCAATTAAGGATGCCTCTTATTGATTTATTTCCCTCAAATTTTTTATTAGTTCTAGAAATAAAATTATGTGGGCTGAAAATTTGAAGAATCTCTTGTTATACAACTTATTACTAAAAAACTTCCTCATTGTAGAAGCATATTGATAGTAACAGTGAATACATAGTGTTGATCCATGGTCAGGCAATGACATTTCCTTAGAAGACATTACTGGTTTCATGCCGCCCTAGTATGTGGAAGAGAAATAAATGTCGTTGGCTTGCAGCTTTATCATCTTACTCCAGGCCTTGCATCAATTTTTCAATTTCTTTTTGTATATTTCTGATCAATGAGAAAAATCCAGCAAAGCCCCTCGACCATGTCATTACTTGTGCATTTTTGTTTTCGTTTCTAGTTGTTTCTTTTAGAATGCCAATATTTGGCTGTCAAAAAATCCCTGATTTCTTAAGACTCTTAAAATATATTTGTCATTCTTGCTATGCCATCTTCAAATTGTAGAAGGTCAAACCTCAAAAGCTGCAGATTGATCTCCACTATTTTAATGCAATTTAACAACACTTCTTGGCTGTTAAAAGTTTTCTTCTTGGTCATTGCCAAACAGATTGCTTTCTTTGTAATGATGCTAACAACCTGTCTCACAACTTTTGGAAGTAAAATTTTCTAATGCCCGCATTTGGATTTATGGATTTGAATCCCCTGAATTTAGTTTTGACTAGTTAAATATTTATAGATTTGAACTTGAACAAAATCCATTGAAAAATATTAGAGACTTGACTGTGGTTGATTTCAAATGCTTTAATAGATGTATTATTTCAAATCAAATTCAAGAATCCAAATGCAACATGATTGTTTAATTAAAGATTTAAAGTTGTTGAGGGTAAAAATACTAGTTTCAAAAAGTTTGTGAAAGCTAATGCTTAAAGTTCTGTAAGAGGACTGAAGTACACACTAGATGACTTGTACTGAACCAAATAGATGTAGTGAAGCAATTTTACTGTTGTAAAGAACTGCTGGAATTTTTTGTAGTTACTATATGCATGATAGAACATGCAATACAACTCAACTAAAAGAGTAATCCCAAACTAATTGATGATGGCTGTGCGTAAACTTTTCCTCTATTTACTCAGTTTTGAGCTGTCTTTTTAGAAAAATCTGGGGCCAGAAAATCCTTTTATTCACTTCCCTTCTTATCATACTAGGTCTAGTCTAGCCCTCATGTTCCTACTGATTAAATGTGTTCAACCTTTCATTTTAATACACTCTGTAGTTTATGATGTCGATGTCCAAACCATCTTAACTCTCATTCTCGAGTTTTTCTCCAGAGTGCCATTTCCACCTTCATACAAATGTATTCATCCTTCATTTTAATCCATTCTTGTCTTTCGACATATCCATCTTAACATTTTAATATCCTCTAGGCTAAAATATTTGTTGCATCAGCAAGTCCAATAAATAAGATTCTCAATTGCACTAGCTGAACAAGTGGCTAATTGCTGCATATATAATTTCGAGAATATACTTATGCTGTTATTTTTACCTAATGGAAATTTTACATTCTGTTTGCAGTCTCTCAGGTAACAAAGGTTTGTGTGGTGTCCCTTCTTTGCCACAATGCTCCTTTTTTTGGGAAAATGGGCATTTGTCCACTGGCGGTAAAGTCGGGATAGCCCTATCTTGTATTGTAGTTGTCTCTGTGCTTCTGTTGGTCATATACATATACATCCGAAGAAGTAGAAATGATTATGACTTTGCTCCCCCTCATGATTTAATGTGTAAGTATGATTTCAGAGTAGTTCATTTTTGCATTGTCTTGGTTTTATTTTTGTGCTCCACTGGACATCATGACATTCCCATGTGCTCCATTATCTGGTATATTATGCCATTGAAGTTTCATTTTTAAACTAATTATGTGTTGCGGCACACACATTAGGTATCATTTTCTAAGATGTAGGTTTGAATGCAAGAGCACCTGTTTCACACAGACCTTATTTTAACTCTCTATTCATGTAGATTTTTCTGTTCCTCATACTGCACCTTGTTAAAGGTCATAGGTTAATCACCTGGAAGGTGAGCTTATTTGAAGTGGTGGGCAAGTGTAGATTAATAATGAATCCGTTGTACATGGATTGTGATGGTGAATCAATACACACCAGAAAAGCTTGGAATTAGAAGCAGAAACCAGAACAATATTTAAGTTTAAAAACAAGTGGCTAATAAGGAGTAGCAAGAGTATAATTATATTTTTCGAGTCTTTATATCATATTGTAGAATGTTGCATACACCCAGTTAATATGCATGTCATATGTCAGCCAGCAACCAAAATGTGATGGCTCAAGTTTGACATTGGCAGCAACAGTTTAAATATTTGAGTTCCACAAATTTTCTAGGTAGATGGTGGGGTAATCATGTTACTTTGGGTAATGGCAAAAATACAAAACCTTTGCTTGATTTTGCAATTATAGCCAATCTTTTTACTTTTTCTCAATTATTTGAATGACCCTTCACATTAGTTTTAATTGTAGCCAAACATGGGAGGGCAGTATGCTATAACTCCCAAAATGTTTATGCGACATATATTTTATTCATAAAATTTCAAATAAGCATATTTAAGTTGAGGATAAGGGAATAGAGACTGTTGCAAAAAAAAATTAGTTTGTTTTTTGTTTTTTTGTTTTATTTTAAACTGTTAAATATTAAATAATTGACAATAAAATTTTGCAAGGTGTTGTATTTAATTATCATCATATTAGCTTGTGACATTAAAAGTTCAATAAAACATATCCCATTTTAGCAATTTGTGAATTTTAGCATGCACCCATTCTAGGACTGGCTACAAACAATTGATAATGATGCAAAAGGTTATTATTGACGAAATTAACAAAATTGGCCATAACATAATTGCGAATTTGAGTAAATGTTTGGAACTTTTTTTGGCCATTAACTCCATCTCTTAGATTGGTGTATGCCTAGAGTTAAGGAGTTCTATATTAGTGCCTACCAGAAAAATATCTTGGGAAAGTAAAGGCATCTTTTCTTCAATCCTTTCATGCTCTTGAAGATAAAGCGTCTTCTTCCAGATAAGCATGTAGATGGAAAAAATTATCTCTATTCGTCTTCTCATTGCAGAGAATTGCTTCCTTGTTGCTCTTGTCCAAATCTAAGCAAGAACTTAACATCTGTTGCTTATGCTCATAGAATGATAGAACTAGTAGTTCTTTTGCTTCTTGATTGCAATTTTACTCTTAAAAGATGGTTTATATTGTAATGTCATATATAGCCAGTCATAAAGAAAAAAGGTGCAATATCACATATGATCTAAAGAAAAAAAAGGTGCTATATTACATAGATCATAACGGTAATTGAGAGTTTGCCTCTATTTGTTTCGCAAAGAACATTTTGTCAAAAGACATTTGCTACATTCAATGGTTTTGGTATGCATAGGAAAATTGATAGATGGAAAACATTTTTATATGCAATCCATTATGCCATTTTCCAAGCTTCTCATTTACAGAACAGGAAATGCAACCTATGAACAAATCATTTAAGCAATAACCTACTGGTCCGCTAAGCACAGGTGGCCGTCATGGGCATTGTTGATCAATCCCTTGTGACCACCGTAATTGTTCCTTTTCATATTTAGTTTTCTCCTTTATTCTGTTATTATTATTATTATTATTATTATTTGAAAAAAAAAAAAAAGAAGTGAAATTCTTATGGATCCAGCTAGTCTTTAGGAAAAGATCAGCTTTTTTATATTATATAGCCAAAACAATTTCCTGGTTGATTTTCACCATCACAACTAAACAACAAAAATAATTTATTTTCCAAGTTTCTTTATTTTTCCCTTGATAATTTATTTACATTGCTCTAAGTTTTTGCCATTCAAGTACTGTCTTTCCTTGCTTTTGTTTTGAGATTGAAGTTTGCTTTATCCTTGGTTTCTGTGCTTGTCTGCTTCTTCTTTGGGTGTTGTTTTTGGATACAACCATGCTAAACAAGTCATGCCATTAATTTTGCCATAAAAATTTATTATTGAACTGCAATCTAATTTCCCATAATTATACTTTGATCAGCAATGGCAGCAAAGAGAAACAGATATCAGCGGCAGAAATCCTTAATGCTACTTGAAATGGAGTCTCAACATGCCAAAGGATTGCCTTCACCTTATGGTGCCCATTAACACAGTACTATTAGAAAAAGTATACACAATACTAGTGATGTTGATAGCGTTTCAGTACACCAATAGGGGCATAGAGAGGGGACACTCAAATGTGACTAATGCAAAATGCACAGATAGGATGTGAGTGTGAGCTGCAGTGCTGATGCTTCGCAGAGATGACTTAAATGGTTTTGGAATCTTTTTGGCAATCAAAACAAAGATGGGGTCTTGTGAAGTCACACTGTCTATAAGATGCAATGTATCTCATTCTTATTCTCACTGACAAAAAAGGAACAAGATAAGACTCTTCCTCACTCTGTATCATACTCATTTTTGCGGTATTTTATGAATATATTCTGTGAATTCATTTTTCTTTAATTTTATGAAAAGAGCTTTGCTCATTTATACAAAATTGATCCCAGTTTCATTATTGATGTATGATAAGCTTTTGGCATATTATTTCCATAACAGCTTACCAATGATTTTGTTTCTTGTCTGTATTTGTGTTTTCTACTGAGTATGCTTTTTCTATTACAAATTTACAGGCTTCTTTCTTTTATGGTTGCCTCATGTTAATGTTAATGAGACTATAACTTGGAAATGATTTCTGCAGCTTGCTAATGGCTATGATGTACCTTGTTAATCAATTTTTACAACAGATATTATTATGGTTGCAGGGGCGAAACTTGAGCAATTTTTGTACTCCTTTAGGGGTTTTATTGTATTTTCTCTCATTTTATGAAGTTGTTCCTCCGTGTCATGGAGTTTTTTATGCGTATGTCTTTTATTGTTTTCAATTCAAAATGCAGTCTGATTTTTTTTTGTTTTTTTTTTAAAGAAAAAATTTGGATCTTCAAGTGGAACTACTATTTTTCTTCTAATGGAGTTTTGTAATGCAGCTTGTTCTTATATTGACATTTGGTACAGTTTCAACTCTTCTACCAGTGTCGAGTATAGTAGAGTTGTAATTTACAAAAACCAATTATTACCTCGAATATTAATATCTTTTGCCAAAATTATTTCTGCAAAAAAATTTTCATTTTTTTTTAAATTTCTGTTATAAGAATATTATGAGGTATTTATCTTATGTTACTCATCACTGAATACCTAATTTTTTAAAAAAAAAAAAAAAAAAAAAAAAAAAAAAAAAAAAAAAAATTTACAAAAAACCAATTATAACCTCGAAATTAATCTCTTTTTGCCAAAATTATTTCCGCAAAAAAAATTTTTCATTTTTTTTAAATTTCCCGTGTTATAAGAATATTATGACACGGTATTATCTTATGTTAACTCATCACTGGAATACCTACATTTTTTAAAAAAACAAAAAAAAAAAAAAAAAAAAAAAAAAAAAAAATCTTTTGGGCTATATTTGTTTGATTCCTATCCAAATTTCCAAACTGGTATCTATCTAGCAGTCCTGTTGTACACCAAAACAGAACAGGTATATAAACATATATTTTTATAAATAAAAAAAAAAAAAAAAAAAAAAAAAAAAAAAAAAAAAAAAATCTTTTGGGCTATATTTTGTTTGATTCTATCCAAATTCCAACTGGTATCTATCTAGCAGTCTGTGTACACCAAACAGAAGGTATTATAAAATATTATTTTTATATATTTTCATAAATTATATAAATTTCAAAATTATCAATCCAAACATTGCCTTAAAAGCTTCTCTATTGTGTACATTTCAAAATGGGTAAACAACTAGAAATGATAGATGCGACATTTCAACGATTAACAAGCAACTAGTTGTTGAAATTTCTACGGCATATGAAAGTCTTTGAATTAGGGAATATGGAATGTGATAACCTACCACAGTAAAGATGATTAAAGGGAATATCTATCCCCTCATATAATCTATTCTTCGATTCATCAAATCTCCCCAAGTAAATAAAATGAGATATTTTCTCTTCTTTTCTTTTCTTTTCTTTCATTTTCCATCCTCTCCCTCTGTATCCCTTCCAATAAAATGCTACAGCTACAAAGATTGACAAATACGTATTTAGGTCTAATTAATCAGTACAAGTTGACAAGTACAAGGTTAGTAATATTAAAGTTGAGTGGTTTTAGGTTTAGCCTTCTTGTACTATAAGAAAAGAATTCTGTGGTAGCAAAGTGCTGTCTTGTTAGGGATTTTAAGGAATCTCTGATACTTTCACATCTGATTCTGATTTTTGCTCTAAAATGTCAAAACCCTAACTCTTGACTTTGAAGTTACAAATCAAGATTACAAAACTTGTACTAATAATACTTGCAACTTCAATTGGTCAAATTTTATTAACTGGACCCACATTAGTGTTTACTTGCTTCTTACCTCTTATTTCAGTGGTTCTTTCTTGACTCTTTCTTTGTTTCTTGAAAGATAAATAATTATATCATTCTTTAATCTTTACCAAAATTTTCCAATGTTTTTTGGATACAAGTGGATAATATTCCTTCAAACAATTTTTCACATGCTACCTATATTTATATTAATGTTATCTTTCTTAATCTTCTAACAGATTGTTTCTTCATTTGATCAAAGTGTAGTTTTAAAATAAGTAAATAATTAGAAGTAAAAATATTTTATCTATACCTTTTTAATTTACCATGAGTATTTTTTATAAATTTATAAGCCGATAAAAACATTTAAATAACTATTTCAAAAATGTTATAATTACATGGGTAAAGGGGTATTGAGAAACTCTCAAGGGGATGGTACTTTGTTTTTTTTTTTTTTTAAGTCCGTTGGCATTTTAAATTCTAATAATGAAGTCAAATTGTTAGCCATTTTTAATGCAATTCAGATTTTATGGGATTCAAATTACAAATTATACAGTTCGGTAATTCAATCAAATTTAATGAACGCTTCGTGTTGGATTTAGATTTTTCAAAAGTAAAAAACTTCTATAAAAGTGGTGAAAAAATATTAATAAATTTGATTTGACCATCTCAAAGTTTGTCATGTTGAGTTTATGTATGTCAATAGGAATATCAATCATCGTAGAGATTGTCTAGAAAAAAAGGTGTTTAAGCTGAGGTATATTTTTTAACTTGGTTGTAATAAGTAAGAGTAGTATTTGTTTTTATAATTATAAGATTTGTTTTGTAACTTATCTCTTCTTATCTTAAGAGGAGATATCTTACGTTTATTTTGATCCATTTATATAGAGTTGATAGTCAGTGTTAGATTTATTTACTTATCAAACTCAAACTGTAGTTTTGGATGCATATACAATGGAGCCTAATAGTTCGGCTTTAACATCTTTGATAAGTTTTTCTTCAATTTTATAATTTAATAAAATAAAATATGAATTGGTGATAACAAAAATAATTAGGTTGGTAAAGGGTCAATAACAATTGGAGGACTTCAAACTTTTTGAGATGAATTAAGAACCAATCAAGCTCAAGTTGATTGTTTCTTGATGTCATGGTTTAAATCAAGTTGACCACGAGAAGATATGAAATGGTGTTTGTAATTATGTATTGAGTATGATGTTTCCATCTCCAACTATGATAACGTAGAAAGAAGGGATTGGTATTAAACCAACATTATGTTGCATGCTTAACTTACCTAATTAAATGCATATCTTGATTCTTTTGTTGATGTTGTATGAGGGCTAAGTAAAGCCACGTCATCTTGTTAAGGTTTCAAGCACATGGATTTTGACATTAAAAGTTAGTCTTTGGTAGAAAATTTTTGGTCTGGCTAGTCGAGATGTGGACCTTAATCTATAGAAAAAATTATATGTAAAGCGGTTAGATATTTAAAAAATTTAATGTGTTAGATTCAATTAAATCAAATAATAGCCGGCCTACTAACCTGAATGGGTAGCTCAGTGGCAAAAAATGCCTGCGGAGTTAATTATCATGGCTTAGGTTATGGATTTGATCTTCTGAAATATAAACTCTCTCAGACCAGCCTCTTTAACTCCAAAAGCGGAAGAGAATTAGTCAAGATTATAGACTGTTAAACGGACACGGACCGAAATACACTGAGCAAGTATCAAAGAATAATAGCTGCCCTAGTTTATCATTTTTGTTCCAACCATATTATTAATATGTGAAAAGTAATTTTTGAATGCAGAAACTCAATTATATGGTAGATATATTCTTAAATTCGGGGATAAAATTTTAAAAAAAAAAAAAAAGGTCGTCTGGGATGGTTTCGTTATATCCTATCTAGACCCCATATGCTTCAATTTATAATTGATGGGGATGCTAAAATAGGAAGAGGTAAATCTTGAATTTCGTGGAGTAAAAGTCATATGAAAATGTCAATTTAATTATGAATAGAGGGAAATGAGTAGACCGCAATTAGTTTAGGATTAAGAGGAAATTGTTATTGTGTTTTTAGATTTATTAAAGATGAAATTGAGTAATTCAAGACAGTATCACCTAATGATTGAAACGCACTAGATTCCACCTTAGTCTCAGGATCCCACCGTGGTTGAAGCATATTAGAACAAACAAAATGAAATTGGGTCGATATAAATAAAATAAATCTTAATCTATTAAACCTGAGTCATTATAAATAAAATTTAATGAATATTTTTGTATATTGACTCGCAAATACTCTTCAACCCTCATATCTTACATATATAGCTTAGTTAAAGCAAAATTATTACTTATTTGTTGATTTAAGCAAAACTTCCAATTTCAATAGTAATTTTGAATAATTGATTTTGAACCAGAAATGAAGTAAACTAAACATCTTTGATTAAATAATGGACTTAGCAAGTTGGTACAATCATCTAATTCCTAATCTATTTGTTTAATGTTAATGTATGGGGGTTAAGTAAGGCCACGTAGGCTATATAAACACCACTACATACATCTAATTAATTATTATAGAAACTAATAATCTATATTAGATTAGATATTATTGATAATTAACTTTATATTATATTAGAAAATCTCAATTCAAAATCAGGGTTTATTAGGATTAATGAGATTCCTTTTATCTCCTTAATCCATTTGCTCTTGTCGACATCCCATCAATCAATATAAATTAAAAAGACAAAGAAAGTTGGTTTCCATTTGGATTTGAATTGGCCATTTGTTATTACAAAACATGTGATTAGGGAAGCATTAATTTTAATCCTTATCTTCATTGAACCAATCTCTCTTCATTGCCATTCCCAATCTCTCTTCATCTTTTCCTTCTATTGGAACAAATTAAATAACCTTTTTTTAATGCAAAACCCTAGTTGGGTTCACTTCATGTTTTCCTAGTGACCAATCACATTGAACATAGGCTCCTACACAAAAGTTAGAAAATTTCTGTTTTTTAAGAAAATTTCTATTCAACCTACATGGGAAGTAGAATGTGTTAGATTCAAAGTATCAAAATTTTAACTAATTTAATTTAATAAATATTATTTGTAGATTTATTCCATAAGCTGACAATATTATTTCAATTCGTTTTAG